GATCAGCATAGATGGTGGCCATCGACGGAGCCAGAGACATGAGGCGTGAGAGGGCCTTGGAAGTCTGGCCCTTGGCGCGGTTCTCCAAGAATCTGCCGAGAGTGACAAAGGTGATGAGCATAGTGCTGGTTTCGAAGAGTGTCGCCGGCCTCGTGTGCGGCGGGAAGAGGAAAGACACCAGCATGGCGATGATGCTGAAAAAGAAGGCGCACGAAGTACCGAGGATGACGAGGACGTCCATGGTTGGCGATCCGTGCTTGATGGATTTCCAGCCCGAAATATAGAAACGCTTTCCAATGCCGAATTGGACGGGGATTGTGAGACCCATACAGATCAAGTCGCCGAAGAAAATGCCGGGAAGAAGCTCCCAGCTGCCGAAGTCCAAGGCGGGAAGGGCCATGGGCAGAACCATGCTGATGAGAAAGACGGGAATGGCAAAGGTCAGGGACAGCCTGAAGGCTCTCCGCCACTCGTTGATTTCTCGAGTCTTGGCGAGCGACTCAAGCTGTGCGTTATTGTCATCGTTATCGGAAACCAATGCATTAAGGCCCTCGGCCTCAACGGCCTCGACGATTCCCCGCAGTCCGATGACGGTGGGCTGGTGGGTGACGGTGAGTCTCGAGGTGGCCAAGCTGAGTTTGGCAGAGTTGATGCCGGGGATGGTCATGAGCTTTGCTTCTAGCGCCGTGGCACTGCTGGCATCGGGATTGCCGTAAATCTTGAATTGGGCGGTAGAGGAAGAAGCGCCGTTGCCCTGTGTGGACGTCTCGAGCGCGGTTGACAGTATTTCCGCGCCAAAGCCCCTGTCCTCGATGATCTCGGCGATCTTTTCTGCCGGCAGCTTTGTTGTGTCGTGGGTGATGACAGCGCGCTCGGCCAACAAGCTGATGTTGAAGCGCAGGACACCCTCCAGCTCCTTGAATCCTCCTTCGACGGCTGATGTACAAGCGCCGCAGGTCATGCCCTCGATGGCAACTGTTGTTGTGGCGACGGAACTTGTGGGGTTGCTGCTGGCCCTGGGCTTCTCCTGCTGGGTGGTTTCGCTGTCTATGATCTCGGCGCCAAAGCCTCGGTCCTCGATGATTTCGGCAATTTGCTCGGCAGTGAGCAGTTCCGGATCGTGCTCAATGACGGCCCTTTCAGACAGCAGAGAGATGCTGAAGTTCTTGACGCCCGGGATGTCTTTGAAGCCTCCCTCGACGGCAGATGTGCACGCGCCGCACGTCATTCCTTCCACAGCAATAGTGGTTGTCATGAACCCGCTCTCCTCCTCGGCATCGAACAGGTCCTTGTTTGTTGGGAACATGGGTGAGGGCAGGTCGGTGGACAAGACTTCGGCGTCGAAACCGCGGTCCTCAATAATCTCGGCAATCTTCTCAGCAGAGATGGCTTCGGGATTGTGCATAATGACTGCGCGCTCCATGACGAGACTGACGGAAACACTTCCCACGCCGTCAACGCCCTTGAAACCCGACTCTACTGCGGAAGTACATGCGCCACACCTAGCAACAGGGGAGACTTGTAAGCAAGCAGGCGGCGGGAAAACATCACGCAGCAAGGACTCAACTCACGTCATGCCTCCGACTTTGAGGGTCGTCGTCGCCCACTGGGTTGGGGTCGGAGTAGCGAGAGTGGCGGTTGGCGCGCCAGCCTCAAGCTTCCCCGGTACTCTGATGGCTGGAGGAGCCATGATTTCGGTGTTTTCCGTAGAACGATGCGCTTGGCAATTGCGGAATGCCAGGAATGCAGGGCCAGCCTCGCGGTTCGTTGGTGTTTCGTCTCGAGTCGATTTCCAGCTATTGGGCTCCCGTCTTCATGGTAGGGCTAGCAGTCCATAGAGTGCAAGAGGAGCTGTCGAGCTTGCTTCGAGGTCGAGGCAAAACGGTTGGACTGCGAGAAGAGGCTTTGGGTGAGAAGGCTCCAGAAGACCGGCTTCCGAGTACTATGTACGAATGCTCCCGGGTTGGTGTCGTGATCGGAATGCTATGTGGAGTATGTGCACGATGTGTACAGGGTAGCGCAAGGCCGCCTTAAAAAAAACAGAAACAAAGGTTGGTAAGATTGAGAATTAAGGGCCGGGGAGGCTTCGGGGGAAGAAAAAACAACCGGTGGCAGTCAATGACACGATTCGGGGGAAGAAGGGAAGAGAAGACAGTATTGGGGGAGGACGTAAGCGGAAGGACGTAAGCAGGAGTTCGGTTTTGCGGGTTTTGTCAGCCAGAGAGATCTTGCCTCGATAGGAATGGGAGGATGTGATGGGGGGCGTAACAGTGGCAGTGGGCAGCGTGGTATCAGTTGTGCATCTATTGTCTGTTGTACCCGTACATGGTAGCACCGCTGGACTGCTGCGAAAGCGAGCGATAGCTGGAGAGGAACAGAACATGTGTGTGGATGCAGCACGGCTCAACCGGCATACAAGCTCATCCATCATCTGGCGCAATCGTGGGACGGACGACCAGGGGCGTGAGAGGGAAAGGGGAGGGGGTGGGTGGCGTGTGGGCGGACACAGACAGGCACAGGCACGCCACAAGTACGGAACAGACACGCCAAAACCCCAACAGGGAACGGGGCTTTCGGCCGGCGAGAAGACAAATAGCATGCCCAGTAGGGAATTCCCTAACAAGGTAGTGTGTCTATTTGTATCTAGGCATGTTCCGCGTTGCTGCTAAACTGTCACTACGGAGTACTGAATAGAGGATAACCAGGGCTCCTTTGCTCATTATGGGGCTCGTGCGGTTGGCTCTTCTCTCTGCTTTTGGCTGAAAAAAGAAAAGAAACCCGTTCTACCACCTAGGATGCTGACCCAGACCTACATGATTTGCCAAGGGGAAAAAGGAGACACTACGACGCTTGCTGGGTGCTGCCGAGCGGGTTGTGTGGTGGATGGTGGCCGAAGGGGACCGACCAATTGGGTTGCACGGACCATGTCAGCCTGTGCTGCAGCTCTCGGTGACTTGAAGTTGTCGGGGGCGGGCCAGAGTGCCCTCCACACACTCCTCCCATTTCCCTTTTCTCTTGGTCGCAATATAGACATCTGGGCACATCACGCAGCAAGGCCATCGCAACAAGAGGAGGTGATAATGGCCATCTCGCCTTGCTGTGCCCGTACAGGTCGTATAGCGGGTTCCGAGTTGTTTTGTAGGACTACTGGGCGAATCGGGCGTCAGGTGACGCTGTCGCCATCTGCCATCTCTCAGCTCGGTAACGCGGAACCGACCGCTGCTGATCCTTCGTAAAAGTACCCGGTCAAGAGTTTGTCGAGCCAGGGATAGGGTTGCCTGTGTGCGCTTCGTACGAGTGATCAGACAAGATGAGGTGATGAACTCAAACCTGCCACTGCTATCCGTATAGTACGGGTACACTCCAGAATACCGGTAGGCATAAAAACTGAAAGTGTATACACACAAAAGGAGTAGTTATTCTGGGGTGGATACGTTTGCATGTTGCATGCGCGTACCGGTACGAGGACGACGCACCCGAGCCGGGCTTGTCAGGCCCTCGAAACATTCAAGGGCCCCGCGGTTGAGGCAGTTTTACCCTTGAGGGTCCAAGGGGGGTCGGATTGAGTACTAACCTCCGACCAACAGAGAGTTGCCAAATCCAATTCATCCGAATTGTTTATTGGGTTTAGTATGTCTCTGAAGTGGGCCTCTGGACGCTATGCTTCATGCTCCCGAATTCGTCTTCCGTGCTCTCCTTCGCGCTGAACACCACGGTACCCGGTACCTTATGTGCTGCAAGCCATTGCCGTCATGTACTCACACCGCCATTTTTTTTCTTTTGATTTTTTTCTCTTCTTTTTTATTCCTTATCACTTTCTGTCGCCAAGTATTTTCCAAATTTTCATTAACTGATGCCTTTAATACACACAGAGATAGGAGACAGCTGGTAACAATGTCATCCTTGGGATCGCCGTGACTGTGACCGAGTCTACTGTAACCTTGAGTTTCCGACGAAATGGCCAATGGTACTGATCTGACTTAGGTACTGTCAGAGTCAACTCTCGTTGTTTACTCCCACATCTGAGTTACTTCCTCGGGAGATTCTCGCCATGGAGGTACCCCCGACAAAAAGCCAAGCCCCGGCTCGAATTTCCCCCAAATGCTTCATTTTGGCGTTTTAGCGCCAGAATAAGTCCATGATCGCCTGCAGCCCCCTTTGACCTTCCTTCCCATCCACTCGGAGGGGGAAAAACAACCTCATCCACAGTGTTTTTCACTCACGTGCCATTTTCCAGCCCCTCTCTCAATTCTTGGAGGAACAGCGACAAAGGGAACCCCATGCTGTCCTTTCTTTGTTCTGTTCCGTGATAGTCGCCGTAGGCTGAACCTGAGAACAAAGTACTACCTGGGGGTCCTAGGTCTGATGAACTAAAGACCCCCTCCGGGGTTGCAGATAGTGCACAGTATAGCAGCTCACAGAGCAAGCTAACAGAAATACGTACTTTCCCAAGTGAAAACCAACATCAAAAAACATTTTGAAAACTAAATCTCCAAGTACGTATTTTGTTAGAAAGCTTAGTGAGCTGCTATACTATGCACTATCTGCAACCCCCCTTTTCTCACTGCAACCCCCGTTTTTTTCGCCCCCCCCCGTGAGGAGGGGGTCTTTGGTTTATCAGACCTACCTAGGACCCCCGGGTACTCTGGTAGGAAACTGGACTGGTCAATCGCGCTATCTTAGTGCGAGATACCCCACTGCCTGAGCCGCACACTCAGCGCTTGCCTGTCAGGCGGCCTGCATGCCTGCCCCGCGCCGAAACCGTAGTGGGCCCCCCGCCCAAACCACTTGCCGCCTGGCTTCCATTGACTGCACCTCAAACAGATCTGACACAAGCCTTGTCCTCAGAAGACATCTCCCTTCGGAAAACACTCCAAAGAACCCCATTTGCTTCTGACGCCCTCCATCCGACGACGCAAGGGTCAGGAATTCAAGCGCCTCCTCTCAGCCTCACCCAGTCCGTTCGCCCGCTGAGGATACCAGCCCAACTTCAGCCTCGCCACAACCCCACCTTTGGGGCATCACAGCGAGCTCTAAGTGACGACATCTGCCGCCCTTGACCAGAACCCCCACCCCCAGAGAGCTTCGTGAGCATTGACGAGAAGCTTTCAAGATGGAGCAGACGAAAGCTCTCAACGCGCTCGAGGTCAGTAATCCCCCAAGTCACTCCTTCCTCCGCATGCTAACTTATTCCCGCTCCAGCCCTTCCTGGCTCTGAGCAAGTCGGCCACTTCCCCACGCGCCGCAGCCGATCTCATCACCCGCGCGACTTCGAATCCGAACACTTTCCTCTTCACAGAACTCCTCGAGACCCCGCAGATCCAAGCCCTGTCCCAGTCCCCCGACTTCCTCCCGCACCTTCGCCTCCTCGAGATATTCTCCCATGGCACCTACACCTCCTACCTCTCCTCCGGCCAGCAGCTGCCCCAGCTCAACGACGCCCAGACCCTCAAGCTCCGCCAGCTCTCCCTCCTAACCCTCGCCAGCGACCGCTCGAACCTGAGCTACGCCGCCCTCCAGTCCGCCCTCGGCCTCTCCTCGGCCCGCGCACTCGAGGACCTCGTCATCTCGGCAATCTACGCCGGCCTCATTGATGCCACCCTCGACCCCCGCCGCCAAGTCGTCCAGGTCAACTCCCTCGCCGCCCTGCGTGACCTTGCCCCCGGCGCCGTCCCGCCCATGATCCGCGCCCTGCACGCCTGGTCCTCGCGCTGCGAGTCCACACTCGAAGACCTCGAGGCCCAGATCGCCGGCATCCGCGACGCCGCCGCCCGCCGCCAGCGCGACAAGGCCGACCAGGAGGCCCGCCTAGCCAAGCTGGTCGATGAGGTGCGCAAGGATCCTGAGGCAGGGGCCGGGACCGGGAGAAAGCTCGCCGTCGGCCACGGCGGCGGCGGCGAGCGCGGGAGCGGCTTCCTGGGCCACACGTCCAGGGCACAGCGGTACAACAAGAGGGGTAGCACGAGCATGATGGACAACACGGCCGAGGACATTGACGACGAGGCCATGGATGTGGACGAGGAGGACCCTGAGCAGGAGAAGAAACGTGCCAGTCGGCGGAAGCTTTAGCATGGGTGAGGACGGCAGTTCTGCTTTGAGAGGGGGGCACACACATACACACTCCTTTCCTGCTCAGGGAGCAAGGAGGGCCTTTGGAGATCGAGAGTTTGAACCGCGGCATTACGAGGACCACGAAGTATCAGTCAATGCCAGGTTAATGAATGGGAAGCGGGGAACAGCATGATCCGGAAAAGAAAAAGAAAACCAGGAGCTGGGAGCTGGGAGCGTAACCGGCACACCAGCAAACGGCAGCAGTATATCACGATAGATCACAAGATAGCATTCAACTTCAAGTCAGCCCCGAAAACGCGTTGATACAGAGGGGCCAATACTAGCCTCTTCCCATCTCGGGTTTGTGGTACCTATCTAGAAAGCCAAGAATGAAGATTAAGGGAATCAAGAAATGAATGCGAATGAATGTGTCGAAGCCAAAAAGAAAAAGAGCTCTTGCCCGACTCGCCTCCGCCTCTTCCCTCTCCACCTTGGGCCACCTCCACCGTTCCTGTTCCTGCTCAGACAGGACTCATCTTCTCTCGGCCCCCTCCAAAGTAATGGTACACCATGCCTCGTGTGCATGGAATTGTAGAAAAAAAATTAAATATCTCATTCTTGCCTCTCATTCAACGCCCAATGCGAGGCTGGAAATCCCATTTGGCCTCTCCCATTTGTCCCTACGCCGTCCCTCTTTTTGGGTAATGCGGAATCCTGAACGAGGTAACTGATGAAAATTGAAAATTTCGAGAAGGAGGAAAAAAACGGACTCTGTCGCTCAAAATCCTGGTGGGGGTCATAACATTCGTGAAAGCTCTCTCTCAATGACAAGGACCACAATTAGTACATCCCCGATGTTGATTGGGGAGGCCACATTGTTGTTGAGTTTGGGGTATTGCAAGTCATTCCTTTTTGCTTTTTGTTTGTGACATAGAACAACACAGTACAGAGCGACCTTTTAAAGCCGTTTGCCTGGGACAAGGATGAAGAGCACACAGAGCGCTGCGTCGATCAAAAGTGTGACGGAGAGAACCATGACGGCCCGCTTGATGAGGAGATTGCGAACGTAAGGCTCACGGATTTTCGAAAAGTTGAATGGCGTGTACTCGCTCAAGCCGACAAGAGCAAGCACGGGGTCCAATGAGTACTGGTAGGAGGCAAGGAAATAGACGCCAATGGTGAATGGGAGGATAAGCTGCAAGTTGGTTAGCGAATGGGCCCATAAGAGGTCATCAAGAAACTCACCCAGCATCTTGTCAAGCGATCAGCATCAAGGAAGATGAGAATAAAGCCAGCCCAGAAGCCACCAAACATGGACAAGAGGCCGAGAATCATTCTGATCTGAAGAGTAGTCGGGATGAGATTGCCAAGAGCCTTCATCCTCAGGAAGTTGGGAAAGGCATCGCGTTCCATCGCCTGGAATACGTAGTCCTTGGCAACGTCGAAAACCTCCGGGTCATCTCTGCCAAAGTCCTCTATAGCGGTGGTGACGTCTTGTGTGATGGATCCCGGCAAGATGATCTCGCGTTCGGCGCCAGGGAGAAGGAAGGTATACAGGATCTTCTCTGCGGAAGCGCGGATATCCTGTCTCGCGACGGTGTGAGCCGGGGAGTTGGAGTCGGTCATGTCACGCGGGGTACTGCTGAAGGCTCCACTGCCGCTATTGGGGGAGTCTTCGTGGGCCTCCTCTCTCAGGTAGGCGGACATCTGGGCGTCCTGGTTCTTCTCTTTCTCTGAGGCGTACATTGAAGGCCCAGCAGCGCTGTGGTTCATTTCCCCGAGACCCTCCAAGATTGCGGAAGACCGCTTGGAGCCTGCCTTGTCCAGATCAGGTGTTCCAATGAGAACGGATCTTCGAAGTTCGCGCACATAGTGCCGGCAAAGAGACATGTGCTGAGCGACATCGAGCCTGTGGTCCGTTAGTGAATTGTGACGCGTGCTTTCCAGATATCGTTTGCACGTACCAGAAATCGAGATAGTCGACGGATTTTTGCTGGTCTCTCATGAAGATATAGAAGGAGAAGAGGTCGACGGGAGGCAGGGTACGGCGGCTCAACACCTCGAACAGAGTCGGCAGTCGGTTCCGGTGCAGGTCTGGCTGAGGGGATGGCGTGCCGGACGCCCCGGTCCCATTTGATCGGTCCTCCATCATGTTAATCGAGTCGCAATGACGGAGAGAAAATCGGGGTATCGGATTCGGGCAGTAAGTAGTTTGATGTAAAGAAATCGGATCGGGAACGAAAGGTCGGGCGACGGAGTCGTAGTTGATTAATGTTGTAAAGTCGGGAGTCCAGGGCGTCGAGGGAACGCGGGTTCGTAGATGAGGTTCGGTAGGTGTGCCCAGAAACAGCAAGATTCGGCTTGGCTCGTCGTCGCTAGCCTTCCCCGTAGTGTGTTCTATTGTTTACTGAATGAGCGTAAGAAGGGAAGGATTGCGAGCGGCGCAGACTGACAGCGTCAGTGTGGTTGACGATGGCGCTCCAAGAATGGCGTTGCGGCTTGGATGGCACATCAAGCGTCGATGAGACCCAGACACTAATTTCCTTCAATGTTGTCTGGTCAGGGGGGAACAAACGGTCCACTCCAAAGGCTGGGTACGTACAGTAGAGCTACCTTAGCGGCACAGACGAGAGGGAAATCACGCTTTACCCAAGTGGGCGTTAGGTCGGCTTGCCTCTCGAGGCCAAGGTCACCTGACTTGTCAGGACCTCTATGCACCGCCACTCACTAGCCGCAAGCACGGACTCCCCACTTTCCAACTCGGAAGGCGCTTTCTAGGGCTTGCACCTGCCTTTTCGCTTCACAAACTTTTCGTGCTCGATTACGGGGAAAACCACCACCATCGACCGAACTTCTCAGCCAACTCGACTCCGCGATCCCGACGACCGAACGCCCAACGAGAGGTACCGCCAAAATGTCGACCAAGCAGAAGAAGCCCGCCGGAAAGCAGCGTTCCGCCATTGCGGACGTCGTCGCTCGCGAGTACACCATCCACATGCACAAGCGCGTTAGTATTTTCCCTTGAGAAAAACCAGGCCGCCGCCGTCAACCAAAATCCGACGGCGTCTGGTGACGGGCTACAATCGAGCACGGCGATGCTGACATTTTTCTCCTACTGCAGCTCCACGGTGTTTCCTTCAAGAAGCGTGCCCCCCGTGCCATCAAGGAGATCAAGGCTTTCGCTTTCCAGGCCATGGTACGTTTTACTGCCCCTCGATAATACAATCCCGAAAATCCAAGCACACAAGCACGCACGACATCAAGACCCGACCCACCGCCATCCATTACCCGTTCCTCAGGAGAAGACCACGAATCCGCCTTTCGACTCGAAGAGAGGAACGCTCGCTAATCCGCAATGATTGTATAGGGCACCACCGACGTCCGTGTCGACCCCCAGCTGAACAAGAAGGTCTGGGAGCAGGGTATCAAGGGCGTTCCCTACAGACTCCGCATCCGCATCTCCCGCAGGCGAAACGACGAGGAGGGCGCCAAGGAGAAGCTGTACAGCTACGTCCAGGCCGTCAACGTCAAGAACCCCAAGGGTCTCCAGACTGTTGTCGTTGAGGAGTAAAAAGTTCTCTTTGGGATGGTTTTAGGGCGGCATAAAGGCATCGGAGTTGCATTCGGCATTCTAGTCTCACATACAAAATCGACGGAAATGTGAACAACGCTTGATTCCCCACACACGAATTCGACGACTTATTACTAGTGGTCCTGGACCCCGCGATGTGGTGGGATGTTATTTTTGTCTGCGCCGAGTGCGCGCGCGAGAAGGGGGCGTTGCGTATGTGCCAGCAATGGTGACGGAGGACTTGGGACAACAGTTTACTTTGTGGTTCGTGTGTACACACATTGTCCGACAGGGTCTTTTCTATCGACTTGGGTTGTCTGCACGATGCAGACAACAGGATATACCCAATCCCAGCCAGGCCCCAGCCATGCAATGCAGTCCAATTCCTAACAAAAAAAGTTCCAAAAACCACCAGCCCGTAATCATACAAGACAGACTCCAATTCTCCAGTGCTCAAATCAATGCCTTCACTATGTCCACTAACCCTCGCTTGGTCTGAGCTTGGGTGTGCTCACTCGTCCTCGACATCACGGTGACGAGCGAGTACCTTACGTTTGAACTCTTCATGGTCCTTGTCCCAAAGCTCCGCGGCCTCGCCGTTCAGAGGGGAGGCGCTGGGTCCCAAGTATCAGCTACAGTACAGGTACGTACGGTGGACCACTTTTTGCCGGGGCAACTCACTTGTTTGGCTCGCCAAGCAGACTCTGCAAGCTGAGGAGGACGGTCTGGATGTTGTAGGCGGGCGTCCACTTGTCCTTGAGGATGTCCAGGCAAATGCGGCCGGAGAAGTCAAAGTTAGGGTGGTAGATGGGCGTCTTGAAGAGCACCGTCGGCGGCGCGTAGGGGTAGTTGGTAGGGAAGGACAGGCTGAGCTTCAGAGTCAGGCCGGCGTACGGTGTCTGATCGGGCCCCTCGATCGTCGCTGTCCAGGACATGAGGTTGCCGTCTGCTGAAGGGAAGGCCGAGACGCCGGGAGCGGGCGATGTCATAAGCTGCATCAGCTCCGTCTGCAATCTGCGACGACATTGTCAGCTCATCTTTTTGGGAAGAGGGCAGCGAAATACACGTACCTCTTGGTGACGCTCTGCGCGTCGGGTCCTTTCCTGGCACCGCCGAGCTTGGCCGCCTGAACGCTGCCGGGAGCAGCGTTCTGGTTTTCCTCCATGCTGTAGTCCATTGTCGCAACTGTGTATGTGATCTCAGGTCGATGAGCAAGCAAGTACTGACGTCGGGAGCAATGGAGCCGAGACGAAAGGGAGTTTCTCGAAACTAGCAGAGTGCTTGAGGTGAAGAGCTGGGATGAAGCAGGTAAGTCGTTTGGTAAAACAAGGAAGCAGTCCGGCCGTTCAGTACTTATGCTTATGTGCAAGGGGGAAAACGCAACGCGCAGGAAAGAGGAGGATCAAGGGGCGAAGGAGACGACAAGCAACGTCGAGAACAACAGTAGGGCACTTATTCTGCAGGGCGAGATGGGCTCCCGGGATTGGTGAATCGGCGACGCTGGTACCTGGGCGACGCGCAGGGGCTCGACTGGCGCTTTTGGGCTAGCGCCGTCGCTGCTGTATAACGGGAAACAACCGTCTGGTACGTACTGCTGAGACGGATCAACGTCTAACAATATGCATTGGACTTCAATTCATCTCCAATAGGCAGGCGCTTTACCTCAACGTTAAGACTTTGTAAGCACATCTTTGGCTTACCATTTGTATATATTGGGGCGTTGTAACTTTAGTCCGGGGCCAATAGCAGCTCCTGAGTTACATACTGGCTTCTGGTACGTAGATGTATCCATCAATGCCACCCAAGAAGGAGTTACCTAGATACTTCAACATGCAATAAATTAGTTGCCGAGGCCTGAATTTAGCTTGCAGACAAAAAACAAGTGAATGGAAAGACGTGTTATAGTGATTGTAAAGGACCCACTTGGACGACTCTGAACTAGAAAGGTCTGTAATCTGATTGTGCGCGCTTTCACTTGCATTTTACGATGATTGTTCAGACGACAATTTCGTCCCAGTTCCAACCTCAAAGGCCATCTTTGACTCGTTCGAAAATTCGTCACATTTTTCAAGGCACCCGATTAAAATATTTCCAGGCATGTGCTCTCCCCCAGCCAACCTTGTGGAAAGAAGACCAAGTGCAGTGACCTGGTTATCGAAAGCTGTGGCAGAAGGTTGACTCTGTCTGGCCGCCTCCCGCCATTTCAACTTTGACTGCCTTCATTTCTCCTTCCTCTATTCTTCTTCAGTTTTATTGTTTTCAATCCTTTTCCTCCAATGCTACAAGTAGTGGCCAGCCACAACTAGCTGGCCAGACCTGAAGCTTCTGATTCTGCAGGTGCTGGGATTTGTCCAGTTCAACTTTTTCTAGCCGGCCTGCCTCACTATCTTGCTTTCTCCTATTGAATATCGTCAACATGGCACAATTTCATCAGTGCCCGTGGGAGAACTGTACTCACGCTCAAGAGGAAGTGTCAGTCGGGTAAGTCATCTGATTTGTTCATTACCAGGTTAATGTGGCTAACTTGTGGTTGGCAGCATTGTCTCCTCGCCCGAGGACAACTTCAAGCTTTGCGAATTGGAAGACGTAAAATATTCATCACCTTTTCCTGCTCCATCGCAAGAGGGTTGCAGTGACGCCGCGAGCATACTTGAGATCACTACAAGTATCTCTGAAGCCACGTCCACGAAGGCCACGTCAGTCACCGCCAGCTCGTACCTGCCGAGCGAGAAGGAGAACAAACCGAAAACCCATTGTGTTCATGAGAGTTCGCGATATACATGGAAATTGGTCGACAAACGGGGTCAGAAATGCGATTTATGCGCCGGCGTACTACCAAAGTTCGTGCTTCGTTGCACCAGGTGTAATTTGCAAGTCTGCATGGTGTGCGGATCTCGAAAGGGATGGATTTTGAGACGATATCAGAAGTAAGTCTGGAAACTACGATATTGTGAAGGCTTTTCTGACGTTTGGAGGTTTTAGGAACCCTCCCAACAACATTCGACGATGGGACCCTGCCCATTGAACACTTGGTCGATCCCAGTTTCGTCTACCCCGAGTTGCCTTGACCGAATGACCAGCTGTGCGAACAAATAACTATTGCATTGGAAGAACGGGAAAAAAAAATGCACAATTAAGATCACAGTATCAAGGTTTCGTTAGTGCTTGGACTGGGATGTCATGGTTGAGGATCATTGGAGGGAAGCAACTATCCTCAGTTCCTCGATAGGCAGGGAAGGCAGGCAGGCAGGGAAGGAAGGAGTCCAGATGCGTGATGGTGGTTGAGAGTTCATCAATTCGCGATTCAACCGAGTCAGAAACTCAATAAAAGATGTCTGTCTACAATCATTTTGTGTCATTGGCTTACTGCAAAAGTAGTGATACCTTTTTATGAAGGATCTCCCCAAGGCGCAAGGCGCGGGGTGCTGCAAAAGCGGCGACTCCTCAGATGTCAGTCCCTGTCAGTTTAGAGGGGCGTAGTGGCGGAACTGTTTACCTGGCCGACGCTGCAGCAACCGCGATAAGAGGACTTATCGGCCAATGGGTTCGCGTCGCCCCAGGCGGCAATAAAACATTGCATCGAAACAAACACGCTCAAAAAGCTCTTTACGCGGCTGAGACGCGCGCTGGAGAGGCACCCGCGTTGGGACAGCTCGAGACACCATCTCAGACAACATGGTGAGTTCTTGCTGACTCTGGTCCCTGGACCCTTTGTGCGCAATCCGCCTTACGTTAGTCTGCTACGTCCACCCACTCTGTCGGGTTTCCTGTTGGGGTTTTCTTTGTCTGGTGTCTGCCTAAAAGAGAGTCGTCGTAAATGGATATCTGAGATCCCTGTTTGCCCATGTCATTTCCCGTTGGCCTTGGCCAGTCTCAGTTATGGAATAGTCCACCACCACAGCTTCTGCGAGGGAATCATCCGAACATCTCACCGACTGCGGTTTACTCACTAAGCAAAGATGCAACAGTCGCAGCTGGACCCTTTACCCACTGACCTGCCCTTCCGAATCATCTCCAAAACGATTGGGCGAGGCGCTTATGCATCGTGGGCCGCCCCCCCCTCACCCAGGTCGTTTGTGATGGACCCCTCCACTGACACTCTAGCACGCAGAATCAAGAAGGCCGTCCCCCAGGACACGCAAACGCCCGTGTTCGCTGTCAAATTCATCCACAAGGGTTATGCCGTCAAGCATGGCAGGGTATCGGCGAAGCAGCTGTTGATGGAGGTGTCGCTACACTCGCATGTCGGCCAACACCCGAACATCATCGAGTGGTTTGCTTCGGGAGAGGACACCAACTGGAGATGGATCGCCATGGAGTTCGCCGAAGGGGGCGACCTCTTTGACAAGATCGAGGCCGATGTCGGCGTGCACGAGAACATTGCGCACGTCTATTTCCTGCAGCTCATCAGTGGCGTAAGCTTCATCCACTCAAAGGGCGTCGCCCATCGTGACTTGAAGCCCGAGAACATACTGCTATCGGATACGGGAACCCTCAAGCTCGCCGACTTTGGCATGTCGACCATGTTCGAGTACAAGGGCCAGCGGAAGACGAGTTCCACCCTGTGCGGCAGTCCACCCTATATCGCCCCTGAGATTCTCGCCTGCGGCAAGGCGGAGAAAAAGACGTCGTCGACCGTGAGCAAATACTCGCCGGATCTCGTCGACATCTGGTCGTGTGGCGTCATTCTCTTTGTGTTGTTGGTGGGCAACACCCCTTGGGACGAGCCGTCGAACGGCAGCTGGGAGTATCAAGAATACGTCCGGACAAACGGCCGCAGTACGGATGCTATTTGGGGGAGGATACCGTCGAATGCCTTGTCATTGCTTCGCGGTATGATGAGCATCGATCCCGACAAGCGCTTCTCATTCCAGCAGATTCGTCAACACCCGTGGTACACCAGACCAAACCCGCACCTGACATCGGACGGCAAGGTTTCCGACCCCATCAACCTGGCCACGCAGATGCTGGAAAGTCTCAAGATCGACTTCAACCAGCATCCGACGGCCTCCCAAGGCAACCCGACCAGTAGCGACCCCATGGATGTCGACACCATCGGCCAGGTCTCCTTCACGCAGCCCGAAACGCCCATCAACGACGTCACGTGGGATTGGGAGCGTCCAGCCCTCAAGACCATGAACCCCATCGCCGTCCCCTCGACGCTGCCTCTGTCCAGGAGCGTAAGCGGCGTCGCCAACAGACGCATGTTCCTGCAATCCCTCGCCGAGGAGCCGTCCATGAGCCAGTTCTCGCAGACCCCCAGCGTCCCGTTGACCCTCACCCAGGCGGCGCGCCGGTTCCGCGACATCGTGCCGCCTGAGTCGCTCACGCGCTTCTTCTCGCACGTGCCGCCGCAGCTCATCGTGCAGATGCTCAGCGACGCGCTGCACCAGCTCAACGTTCCGCTGCCGCCCGTGACGCCGAGCCTGTCGGCGGACCACGTCGTCACGATCAAGATCAAGACGATCGATGAGCGGCGGCAGTCGATGCACGGCGAGATCCACGTCGACAAGCACAGGCTGCCGGAGGAGCAGGAGCTTTTGGACATCCGGTTCGTCAAGATCAAGGGAGACCCGCTCGAGTGGCGTCGTTTCTTCAAGAAGATTGTGGTCCTTTGCAAGGACGGTGTCTATGTGCCGGAGTCATAGGGAATGACGCCCCTGCCAGGGCCTTCGCGGCCGGGCTTGGATAGAGTAATGGATGTGAATGATGTTTACGCCGCAAAGATGTATGGATAGGACCGTTTTCCGAGGAATGAAGAAATGTAATACCCCACAAAGGTCCCCGAGAGTTTGGAGCGCTACCGAGCCGCGGTGAAACTCGATCACGGCGTCTCCAGCTGTACGTAAGGAAGGCAGACTAAGCCTCAAGTCGGCCATCGACAGCAGTTGAAGTCGTCGCCGAGAAGGAGAAGAAGGACATGCCTATTTGGACGTTGTTCTACAATCCTAGACATCGAGGGCGAGGTACATTGAACTCTTTTGAGAGGGAAACAAGGTTTGGGGGAAGGGGGGGTGTTAACACATAGGAGGGCCCCGTCACATATTGTCGGATCGATACGAAACATAGCGAATATTCTCAGCCCACACAAACAACAGGATTGCACAACGCGGGTATTGCCAATTGGAAAAAAACTACAAACGCACCTTCTATCAACGCATCAACTCCCGAGTAATCCGCCAACCAACACTCAGTCTCCATAAATCGCATCCAGTCGTGGTTTCTTCAACGCCCGTTTCTTCCGTCATGTCACCCTACACACGCCATCCGCGTCGCAGCTCTCGTCGGCCTCCTCCTGTCCAGGGATCCTTGACCGAGGCCTGCGGTAAGTGATGCTCATCACGGATATGCCATTGATCAGCTCCTCCGTCTGACGGACGAGATTCCGGGGGCTGTCGGCCCTGAGGGGCAGCAAGCCTCGGTCTCGACCGTCAGATTCCCATTCCTGACGCGTCATGGCCTCGAAGACAATGTTTTTTCTGACGATCGAAGTGCCGGGAATGCATTGGTGTTCATCCAGAGTCCCGAGTTCGGGGTGCCACTTCCGGACCTCCCCCAGGACCAGGGCGTAGAGCTTGACGAACGTGGAGGCGTGTCCAGTCAGGCCGGTTGTGTTGAGGATGTTTCTTTTGCACTGTGCGCCTGCGCAGACAAAAATGCTGAGGTACGCGTGCACCATCTCGTGGATCAATGTCGAGACATTCTGGGCGAATGGTAACCTCTGTGTCTCCCTGCCGCCATCTCGTCTCTGTGGGCTATCGCACGCAATTCTGCTCCAGATTCGTATACGAGCGTATGCATGGTCAGCATTGGTCCAGTGGTTAAGGTAGGTCGTTGTGTCGCCATAACGGCCCTCGGCGACATCCGCCTTCAGCAGGCCGAATCCCGTCTCCAGAACCAGCAACAGGTGCTGCTGGCCCTCTTGAAGGCGCGTCAGGGTGCCGAAGAAGAAGTACTCGTCGAGGCACTTCATCATCGAGCGCAGCGAGCCCTCGAGAAACGCCCCCTCGGCCTCGTCCTGCTTGGAGCCGCTCCCTTCCTCGAAGTTTTGCAGGCGCTGGGCGGGGATCTTGTCCCAGACCGACCCCCGCGGCGACGCCTCCAGGTAGCACTTGACGAAGGCGTCCCGAGCCGCGGTCTGGTGGGGCTGCAGCTCGCAGTGGAGGAAGTGGCCGCATGTCATGTTCAACAGAGGGGTTGCGCCGTACGAGAAAGGGGAGATCAGCATCAAAGGTCGAGGCTCAGGCGCCGGCTCATCCGCGTCCTGTCCGTCAGGTTCCTGTGGCTGAAGGGTCCTGGGGAGCCCCGGGTGTCGGCACGGCTTCACTTTCTTGACGCGATGGCCTCTTGGTCGGCGCTTTGAGCCGAAGCGGCGCGTCCTTCTCGCCCTAGTCGGCCTCGTGGGCCTCGTGGGCCCCGAAGATGGCATGGCGGCTGGTTGTGGATTCGAGGTGCGCTGTAGTTGGAAAGGTTTCGGCTCAACAGAACGGCTGGTCGATGATTGGGACCATCTGCTCGGGGCCCGGTATCCCGCTCTCGTTTATAACATCTCACAAGATGACTAGAAGATGCTCGCTCGCCGGACAAGATGCAACTCGCAAGCTCGCGAGACGGAGATCCGAGAGACTCTTGGCTGGACTGCTTTGGAACTTTGAAACCGGCAGAACGTGTTGTGCGTTTTGTTCGAAGTTGAGAAGTAGAACAAGGCTTGCTGGTTTCGACCCTATGTGGCTCGCAAAGCCCGTCGTGTTTCGTAGCCTTGTAGCTACCTGGGAAGTGTAAGACGCCCGAACATCGCTTTACGCAGCGTGTGCCGAAACACATCGAAAAGAAGGAGCAAGAGCTCATGTTTCCTCTCGAATATTGTAGCCGCAAATGAAGCTGCTGCATCCGGTCTCGAAATAAACCGGTTCAGGCGTGGAACCAGCGTGAAATCTTGACGAGTTTCTGCCCGAGAAAGTACAATTCTACGAATTTGTTAGTTCTTTCCTCATTCGTCGATATAAACGTTATTTGCGTGTAACAATGCTTTGGTGCTCTGTTCCGTCGTGTTTTTATGAACTTATGGGTGGGTTTGCGTGTCCTTGTCTCATCTTTGGTTGTCTCGAGAATTTAAGTAGCTTGATAGCTTATCCAAAACCATGGGTTGCCGACTTTACAGAGGGCTGCGAAAAGGCTGCAAGTCGTCCTGCTTATTAGTCTAGTGAAGAAAGAAAAAGGAAAGCCAGGAAAATAGTAGCACTCTCTAAATCTAGTTGACATCGTAGTGAATTTATTATACAAACAAGACAGACATAGCTTTAACCGCCTTCTATAGTCTGCAACAGTCTTGTTATGTACTATTTTATAGTATTTCACTTATTACTTGTATATCTTACCTCTTTATATATATATATAGAACTATTCTTTCTATAGTTATGCTTATGGAATCCAGCCTTTCAGACCTGAATTCTCCAATGCCCTGCTGTGTGCTCTGATTTATGACATATATCCTCTTCATACTGGCAGCGAGGGGGTCTGGCGGAACATCCCGTTGTGGAACTGCCCACTCTCCTCCACGAAATTGGAGAAATCGATGGGCGACTTCCTCGGCGAGTTCGTCGTACCGGTATCAACGGTCACGGGGCCCGAAGAAATCGACCTGCCAATGTTCTGGTTCGCTGAAGGGGAGGTCTCAGGGTTCTCTACATCGGCGGAGACGAGGCCCAGACGCGACCCAAGAGCCTTTAGAGTGGGCAGGCAGAGGCAGACCATGGCCCCCGTCAGCTCGCCCATCGACCACATCGCGGGCTCCACGTTCGCCCAAGTGAAGTCGGGTCCGATGTCGAGGTAACGAAGACGGATTATGGCAATGGCCACGACGCTAGTTTAGGGCCACGCAGTCAGTATGGCAGCTCTGCTGTACCGGGCTCACGCTCGAGGGAGACCACCCACAGGAAGCCGAGGCTGAAGATGCCCAACAGATAGTTCTTTTGAGAACGGGGTACTTTCAGCTTGGACAAGGCGGGAAGCGGCAGCAGGTAGATGATGACGTCCGTGGTGATACTGACGGAACTGAAAGCGTAAAACAGGACCTTCTGGTCCAAGCACCTGGCGGGGACGCGAGGGTCCCAAAAGCCCACGAGGGGGTCGCAGAAGTTGACAATGACGAAGAAGTTGCCCAACCCCCACAGCCCGATGAAAATCATCGCCGCAATGTAGATCTTTCGCATGTTTGGAGTGCAAAGCACATTGTAATACTGAACCAGGAAGGCCATCTTGAAAGACAGGTGTCCACAGCCATAGCACAAGACGGTGCACCAGAAGCACTATATCGAAAGGATTCGTCAGCTATTCGGAGTCGACAGTTTTCGGGCCGGAAAGTGCTCACCTTGAACACTTTTACGTGCTCTTCCAATGTATTAACCGTCTGCTGATGTCTCCCGAGACCGTATCGTGTCACTGTTGGCCGTTAGCATTTATATGCACAGGCCGGTTTTAATCAACGGTTCGTATCACTTACTGACTGCGATCGAGACTCCGCATCCCCATATCGATAGCTAAACCGAGTCAGCTGGTTATTCCACCAAATCCGAGAAACTGTCAGGGAATCACCAATGAGAAACATGCGGTGTAATCATCCCAGCCGACTTTCTGCAGAATGTAATGTCGCGTCCAGAGGCGGAGAGCCAATAGGGCCGTAGCAATGACCAGACACATGGAAACGACGCCAATGACCATTGGCGACACGTCCCTCGCTAGCTCTTCGGGGGAGAGCGGCGGTAGATTCATGACGGCTGGCGTTTGATGGAAGACGCAAGCCACGGAGATGTGCGTCTCTGATGGAGATGGAGTCCCCGTATGAAACAATCGGCGCTATGAGCAACTACTTAAGGCATGCCACCGAAGAGAACCACCTTGATACCCGGGCCGGTTAGGTATCCGGGCTGGAACCAAAGACACCTTCATTCCGCTCGGTTGGGATTGTTAGACAATGACAAGTCGCCTCTGTTGGAGACGCATGCGGCCAGAGGCGTACTTTCACGAAAGGCGCAAGCCACAATCTACGGAGCGAATCACAACGCAAAGAGCCCTAAGGCACTGACCGGCTCTGGCTAGCCCCCCAGCGTTTCCAGAAAAGATGACGAGTTCCCGAGAAGGCGGGAGAGATACCCTTTCGACGGCCCATCTAGAACGCGGGATACTGGGCACGCCGTTTCGATAGGCCGGCCGAGCCCCGCCGACAAACAAGGAGATGCAGATTGCGCATACGCTAGTCCTGTTCAATGAAAGGTATAAGACGGTGCCGATAGCCGTGTGTTGAGAATCGGCCACACGAGCGGCGTTCTCTCCCTGAATCCGTCGTTGTGGAAAAGCCCGGGATTGGGGGCCTCGGACAGTGCGTGGCCGCAGTCGCCAAAGGGAGAAAAACAAAGGTGACGTTGAGAAAACGCAAGGCGCGCGGAATATGAGGCTCAAGTCCGGAGGCTGAAAATAGGCTTTGTGTTTGCTGTTACGCAACGTCCCGTACCGAGAAGTTTTCTCATTGGTTCCAGACCACGCCGGCGTGATGTTCCCCGGCACATGCCGCACTTGGTCTCTGGCGTTGCCTCGATGCCACTCGACTCCGGGCACAGGTCTCGAAGATGCAGAACTGAGCCTCACCGGTGCAGTGCAGGGATGCAGCCCAGCCGGTATCTGCAAGTGGGCCATTTTTTGTCACAATTCCCCCTCGCGGCCAAGACTCGGACCGGTAAACATCCCCACTTCAAATTTGGGTTGATTGGCTTCCCTTCGTCTTCCCGTTGGCTCGTCGTCTCAACCCACGAGCGCCGCCGTAGTGTTAATTCCGACTTCACACATGATGGGGAGGGGGAGGGGGAGAGGGAAGGGGCTCTCGGATTGTGGTCGCGGGATTTGCAACGCCAATGTGTCCAATAAGTCCTAATCGAGTTTTGAGGAACACAGCGAGTGAATAGCAAACGTCCAAGCGGGCCAGTGTCTGTGTGACAATAGTCTTTCGAGACAATGTTGACAACACCGCAACAGCCGATTGTGCGCCTGGCTACGCATTACCAGAAAGGAACTTGGGCGATTGCAGGTCGCAAACTTGGGCGCCATGGAGTACAGAATGGAGCTGTCGCGACTGAGTCGGCCGTTCTCTCGAAGTTGTTTTCGATAGCCAGCAGACGTATTACCTCAAGTACGGCGGGAGCAATCAGTACGGACGTTGGTATGCATCGGCCAATATGCAACGCAAGTGTTGATGCGACGTAATGAGTCCTCTGTGCCCATTCCGACAACTCCTCAAGGATGTAATTCAAGCAAGGCTTTCCAGCAGAAGGAGAGAGAAGACGCGAGGAGGAGGATTCTGTGTCCATTCTGACAGCTTGTGAAGACTTGAACGTAGGTAAGACCTTCCGCTAGGAGAAGAGCGAAGAAGCGAGAAGGGGGGGATGGAAAGGAAGTTCCGAGGGGGACGAAAACTCTCGGGAGGCATAGAGGTGAAATCAGTCGATCGATACTGGCTTGGTCGGGATCGGAGCTCTACTCCGCACCTTACTACCATGGGTTGTCGTCAGGTGGGTTTGGGACAACCACGGGATCGTCCCATGTGTGCTCAATGAACAGATTAGCCAAGTTCTGGCGGTGAAGAATTCGTACGAGATTGACGCATAGTTGGCCAGGAAAGGGCTTGCCTATTGGCATCTGGACCGAAATATAGTTTCAGGTCGGTGATGGTGCCAGACTGTCGGGTTTTCGAGTAAAAGCGTTGTGTAATGCAGGAGCAACGAAGAATCGACACCTCACTTCTCACGTGAGGGTTCGGCACGGCGTGAAACCCCCTGCAGGGAACGGCCCTGTACCGGACCCGAATAAGCGGGATTGGCGCAGGAAAACCTGCAGGTGCAGCAACACTGCAGCAGTTCTCCGGCGGAACCGACGGCCAGCGAGCGGTCCCGGAGACGGAGTGTAACGGGGCCTACGAACGATTACATGGTTCTGGCCCTGGAGAGCCGAGACAGAATGTAACCTTGCACCAACAACACTCTTTCTGCAACACCTATCACCATGCATAGGACTATTGGTCCCGTCAAAAGGCCAACTAGTACGACTCTTCCTTTTCAACAGAACCCATTGGCTAGACCTTGGTACGCCGAGTGGGCGCATGGGTAGGAGGGGCTAATGTTACCGGGGGGGCGGGGGTTATTCAAGGAAAGCCCTCACACATTGACGATCTCAAATCCCGTCCTGTGTGATATTCAGGACATGCCCATGCGGGATTGATCAACCGCGGAGTCCGCCACATTTCCCGAAGACTGGTTATTTATACCGCAAGGTGTCGTTCTTTTCTTTTTTTTTCCCCCTGTCATTGGCGAAGCTAGGTTAAAGGAAGAATAAAACGAAGTCAATTGTCTGCTGCTTGGAAAGAATACAGGAGAAAGCTTTTGGGTATCCTCATCGTTACAACGCTAAAAACCGCCCTTCCGTGGAATTCCCTTCCCCCCCCGTTAACACCTCGAGATAAGCCCGTCCTGGAGATGGCTGACGACAGACAGCCATCTTTGTTTCGGCACCTCTCGGGGTTGCCGTCAGATCTGGGCCGCGAAACCAGCCATCGACGACGATGATGCGGGCCGTGGCGGCTATCTTGTGTCGGTGGACCGCGTGGATGAGGTCGCCCTGCTGCTACCTGCTTCCTGCAGGATCCTGGCCTCCTCCAACGCCTCTCTCCGCGCGAATTCGTCGAGCAGCTTATGCGCGGTTTCCAGAGGCAGGTCGGCTATCATGGCCGCCAAGTACTGTAGAAGAAAAAGAAGAAAGAAACGAGTCAGTTCAATGCACTTCTCATGCAGCCTGGGTATGCGAGATCCCCTCACGCTGCAGGCGACGGGGCAAGGGACAAAACGGGGAGGAGGCGGCGTCGTTTGTTGGTAGGTACACATACCTGGGGGAAGATGTCGGAGGGATGATACTTGAACTCCTCCATCATACGGTTCAGACGCAGGACCTGCTTCCACGGCACGATGGTGTCGCCAATCAGGAAGGTAGGGAACCTGGCCATGGCTATCTCCTCGAGGATCCATCGGCGTTGGAAGTACGGACGGCCCATGAAGTCGTTGCAGCCTATCCAATGCGGCAACATGAAGGGGATCTCGCCGTTGGGCCCCGGCTCCCACAGGTGCGAGACAGCCTTGGCCCATTTGTGCATCGGGGAGTAGTCTTCAGGATGCTTCAGCCGGTCGCCGGGGTCTCCCCAGTGGGGCGGCATGGCGTCCTCGATCTGTGCGAGGGCCGCCATGGCCAGATCCGTGTGTTCCGCTTTCTCGCCCAGCCACGCGACGACAAGCTCGGCATTGCGGTAGATGTTGCGCATGTCCGAGTGCTGCTTGGTCTTCTCCAGGTCGTCCCTCTGGTTGACGCAGAGGAAGTCACACCAGACCCGCAACGCCCTCGGCTCGTCGTCGCTCGCGCGGGAGCTGCTTATGCCGAACAGTTGCCTCAGCCATCGCGGAGCGCCGTGAGGCCGCCTCGCCGGCGTCCGCTGGAAGCGCTGCGAGATGGTCGGGTAGAAGACCGCGCGGACATGCTTTAGGGCTTGGGATAAGTGGGCGGTGATGGTGACGGGCTGGCCGCTCACAAAGATCTTGTCGGTTTGGGACGCGTCGCCGTAGAGTGAGGAGAGTGCGATGTACTCCCGTGACAGGTCGTCGGTAAGGCGGACGGTAATGAGCCGGCCCTCGACGGGGTCGTTGATGCTGCGCGCCGACTGAATCTCAAGCAGGCGGATCTCGCGCTTCGAGGGGTCCAGTCTCCGGTATATGATACTCATTGTACTCCCGTACAGATTGGGGCTATCAATCGGTCCGACGGTTGGCGCAGCTTCCGAGACGAGCCTCTGTCTGTCTCTCTTTGTGTGAAGCGAACCGACAACGACTCCTTTTTTTTGACCTTCCTTCCTTCCTCTTTGTTTTTTTTTTTTGGGGGGGAGGTGGATTCCACACCTCGGTCTCCGCCCTTGCCTCTTTCTGGGATCTTGTTCAGAACTCCTGTTGGTTGTCTCTTTCCAGTTGTTGCAGAATGGAAAGTGGCAAGGCAGGGGTGGTTTCCAGGTTTCTGCAGGTTGCACCAACGATGGATGCAACACGATTGATGAGAACTGCGTGCGACACAGGACGGGATGCCGGCGTTTATACCAAGAAGGCGCAAAAGGCGGGCCCTGCGGCTCGGGCAGGGTATCTCTGGGGCAGCGCTCTATCAACCGTTGATTCTGCCGCCTGCACCGCTACCAGGTCGAGATTTTTTCAAGGCACAAGGGTCCAAGTCCGAAGTGGTAGAAGGGGAGGGGCAGGAGACGAAGACGAATGGGGGTCGAGGTGACCTCCTCCTCGCATGGCAGGGTATATTTGTACATGCCATCGGCGGGGTGACAAAGTCACGTCTTCATCTCTTGACGTGCTCGCAACGTGACTGAAGGAAGCCAGCCCACTACTCATTACCGGTGCAAAGGGATTGCTTGCCAACTCGAGGGTTGTCGGCTGTTGATGCTCTGTAGAATGTTGTTGTCTGTCATTTCGCCGTCATCCCTACACTTCGGCATGGTTGCCTTGAGTGCGGAACAATTGCCACGAGCTGTTATTGCGAGATGGGCGACATGTGGGCTGGTCACTCCATTTGGCGGGCCGTTTTATGGCATCGTTCAAGGACAGGGGAGGTTTCTGTTCGCCATCAGACAAATTGGCACCTTTTTTTTTGTTTTGTTTTTTTTGTGCGCGAGCCCGAAACCGCAGCAAAAGTCTTTTTAGCCTCCTCCTCCTCCTCCTCCTCCTCCTCCTCCCCCATTTCCACTTCCTTGACTTGCCGGACTTCGCTAAAATGACCATGCGACCCTACCTTGTCACCTGTGGTAGACTGGCAGAGGAATACCCACTATCTTTGCTTCCTGCGTGCATGTTTGTCTAGCCCAACGCAACCTGGGCAACGCTGGTGATATCGCCCATGCCAAGTAGGGCTTTTCCCAACTGCAATCTCCAGTGCCTCTCGACGTACCTTCGCCGAAAATGGCACCAACTACCGTTAAGAACACATTAGTCGGAGACCACGTACAGAGTAGTGTACAACGCACGCTGGTTCCGTTGACAGCACGTCGGTGATCATGGCATGTTTTGGGGCTTGGTCTTGACGAACCCCGGATGACCCCCACATCTCTCAAGCAGGGGGTGCCATGTCGCACTGGCTTTCTCGGCCCTCTTATTCTCTCTCTTCTAGAATGAACCCACCAACTCCTGACTCGATAAGCCCAGACTGAGCTGCACGTGCGTTGTCATTGCCGGAGCGGTAGCCCAGCAAGGAGAGCCGATGCCGATCCAAGAGTCAGGATGAACAGGTAATTACATCTTTCTTTCGCTGTATCTTTGACCGGGAACGGGACTCGCGTTGGGGAGGCTAGATACGAGACGTCTGCGGTTCGGGTGCTTGACGCGAGGTTTCGAGTCGGCCGCCCTCGTCTCCCAACCGTCCGTCCATCAAACAGAGAGAGAGAGAGAGAGAGAGAGAGAGAGAGAGAGAGAGAGAGAGAGAGAGAGAGAGAGAGAGAGAGAGAGAGAGAGAGAGGGCTGGGCCTCGGACTCTCCTCCGGCCATGTCTCCCGTGATCAGGCGTGTGCGTATGTACGTATGTACCCGTCTTCTTTACCGGTCGACCTGCCGCGCAGCCGACCACCGACACTTGTCGACTTGACCTCGATTCGTCCAAACACACACACACCCCCCCCCCCCCCCCCCCCCCCCCGGCAAGCTCACCCCCACAATTCTGCATCAAGTGGGAAAGTACATGCAAAGTCTGTGCCCATATGGTATCGTACGGTCCGAACCTGCATGATCAATGGTACTGGCAACGGCGGCTGTCACTACTCAATCCCGCACTTCTACAAACCTACCAACGTAAACCACTTAGCTAGGTACCCAGAAACCCGCATACAACGAGGATGAAACTAGTTGACCATCTGGCTATCGTTCCAGTCAGCTTGCTCGAGATGGAGATGAGCAATATCTCTTACCCACATCTCTCCAAAACGGCCTCCCTCGTCCCGATTCCTATACCGTCCGACGCTATCCATAAAGATCCAGGTCTCCCCCGTATAGCTATGGTCCATGGATATAGTTGCTAGTGTCAAGTCTGTGCTCCTTCTAGACCATCCGTTGGCTTTCACCGACTCTTTTAACCCCGTAGCACCCTTCCACGCCCGTTCTTCCTTCTTGCCCATTCCTGCCCAACGAAGATCCTAGTATATTTAGGTTCAAATCGTTGTAAGGATGATTAGTCCGTCCCAACTCACGCCCGGGGCTCACGACGCCGCCGTCGCGGCTGGCAACCCGCTGTTCCGGATGCTGAGCTCGCTGTGGGGGCTGTTCTCCCCGAAGCGCATCCGGCTCGAAGATGACCTGGCAGCGGCGCCGGACAGGCTGGCCTCTCTCGTCAAGCCCATCTGCACAGATATGCTGAAGGAGCTGAGATATCCTGGCGTCCCGCAGATCAAGGAGGAATCGGTAGAAGCGCTCTTGCAATACATGTACAAGAGAGCCGTCGAAATCGGCTACCCTCTCGACACCCCCATCTCCGCAAAGGCGTTCCGCCTGGGCCACTCGCTCGGACTGGTGAGTTACCTCTCCGTTTTCCACCATCTTACACTACAGCCTCTCACCGCCGGGCTGTCTACCCTGGTTCAAAAAAAAAAAAAAAAAGACCCAATTGCTGACGAGGCGGCAGCTCTGTCATCCTAACCACCCGACAGAAGTGCAGGGTTACGTTGGACTCTTCACGTGGCTCGTCGTGCAGTACGATGACATTGTCGGCCAGAACGACGAGATGGCCGAGGCCCAGCTCTTCCAGGAGCGTTTCTTCAAAGGCGAGACGCAGCCGAATGCCATGCTGGAGGGCTTGGCGACCCTGATGCGAGAGGCTCCTCGCTTGTTCGACCCTGTCATGGCCAACCTGCTGCAAATATCTACCCTCAAGTTCTTGACGTGCAACCTGCTGGAGCGCCACAAAGGCTTCATTAACATGAGAATCACGCGAGCCGGGGTCAAGTTCCCCGACTTTGTCAGGGACTTATCGGGCATCAACGTAGCCTTCGCCGTCTTCTGCTTCCCCCAGGCCCAGTACCCCGACGTTGAGCAATACCTCGAAGCAATCCCTGACATGGCCAGGTTTATTGACATTTCGAATGACGTCTTGTCGTAAGTCCCTGCCGAATAGCAAAAGTCAACCCCCCCGCCCCCCTGTGAACCTTGCTTACGGTCGTCTCAGGTTCTACAAGGAGGAGCTCGGCGGTGACACCAGAAACTACGTACACAACCGTGCAATGGCAACCGGCCGGCCTGTGCTCACCGAACTTGAAGTGATCAAGAACGAGGTGGTGGAAGCCGCGAACCGAGCCGCCGTGATCCTCAAGGGACGCGGCCAGTACGAGCAGTCGCTGCACGACAGCGTCCGGGGCCTGTTGGCGATGCACACGGCCAACCCCAGGTACAAGTTGAAAGACCTTGGGCTGGCCGAGGAGCACCCGCTGGCCCCCTTTGAGGACCAGATTGGCGAGCTGTTCGACCGAATGAGGGAATAATTTTTATGAGTTGGGTTGGCGATTTCCGTGAAGAAGCAAGAGGCATGAGATACCCCCTGGGTGGCATTCTGATTTTTTTATGGCAGCACAACTGCTTTTTCTTATGTCAGGGGTCCTTATAGTTTGTGTTTATTGTATCAACTGGCGTATGGGTAGTAGAGGCTGGAGAGAGAGAGAGAGAGAGAGAGAGAGAGAGAGAGAGATCGAAGAGAAAAAAAGAAGAAGAAGAAGAAGAAGAAGAAGAAGAAGAAGAAGAAGAAGAAGAAGAAGAAGAAAAAAAAAAAAGCCGTCAATGAAGGCGACGGGCAGTTCGCCATCCAGTTTATGGAACAGACGAGCTGTTCCATGCCATACATAGGTCCTCGCCACAATAATACTTTTCCATGACGCTCACGTGGACTCTGACGAGTTTCCCCTTGCAGGAGTCATCCCCCGATTGCTGAAGATGACGATCGACATCTGCTAGCCCTAACCACTTCCCATGTGCGGTTTCCGCCCGCTGCTAACTAGGGCCCTGGCTCAATTACCACCACCGCACAGGGCCGCGACTCGAATGGCCCGAGCCTCGGGATTCCTACCAAGTGTCGTTAGACCTGGCGTCATGTGGAGAAAGAAGGCCGGCTGTGAGCACGTAGAAAGAGAGACTGTGCGGCAGTCGTCGGCGACTTGTCGGTTTTAACTCGGCTCAGAGAAGACGCATCGCCATAGAAGATGATGTTGACCGCCGGGGGGTTTTCCCCAGACTACTGTCTCAGTCATGCACATCATCATGTCGAAGCAGAGGAACCCTCCCCTCCCCCCCCCCCCCGACCGACAGATACTGGTATAGTTTACGAGTTACGGATACAGCCGCCTCGCCAAGGTTTAAGAGAGTCCGAGATCCAGTGACTAGGGGCCACAAAAAAAAACTAAATCACATGGCTGTGAAACCTAGTCGCACTCTCGTAGTTTAGTTCGATGCCGGAACCCATGGTCTCGCCATGTTCTAGATCGATTCCAGATGAGCAGCGGCGGGGTCATGACGGTCAGCAGAACCAAGGCAGGCATGTAATGAATCGGGCGCTCGTCAAGTGTTGAGCCGCCGATCTTAAGCCAGAATCCAACGGCATGTTGAATATTCCTGATCGACGCATGTGCGGCATCGGAGTCTCCGGCGTAACGATTGTCCTAATCGAATTTCTCAAGTGGTCGTTCCACTCAGGGATTTACCATGGAGGGTTTGCTTTACATGCATATGCGCGATTGGGGTTTCCCAAATTCATGGAACCCATCGGGAGAAAAGATGGCGGTGTTCACTATTTAGAGTTCAGCAACTAGGGTCCATGGAGCACGACGAACATAGTATACGCCCCTTTCCTTCAGTCAGCCGTACATCATGAAATGGTCCACCGCTCAAAGTGGGTAAATTGAAATTGCCGACGAAAAATAAACGAAAAAGTGTCCTGAGGAACGACAGATGGATGGATGCGCACAGGATCGGAACGACAGAAGACAGATAGATTCAAGACTCCCCAGTCGAAAATATAACAACGCATGTAACTACTTAGAGGCTGAGTTATACGTTTGAGCTACTGCGTAACTTGTCAGACTATAAAATTCGGCTCCGAGGTCCTGGTAGCTGGAACACGCAGGAACGGTTCTGATATAGCGCCAAGTCCGAATCCGGTCTAGTCGGCTCGCTGCCCGCACGTGCAGTCAGCAGCTTAGCTTCCATATGACTCGTAGCGATTGGTCGAGCTATCTAAGCATACATTGCGTGCGGTACGAAAGACAAGCGAGCTGGATCAACCCATACAGATCGCTACCGTGGGTCTGGAAGATTCAATCATATTGCACAACTTTCTCCTGAGCGAGGGGGGAAGCCCCCTTTAGAAGACACTGGCAATGCTGTCGTTTGCTGACCATGCATTGTACGCGTTCTTTCAATTACAATTACAACAGATAGGGACGTCGGATAGATTGCTAGTCTGGCGGAATCTTTGGACAAGGCGACGACGCGCCACTGGCTTATCCATGATATGAAGCTCACATGAATTCGCGAAGCTGCCCTGAGCTATTTGGAGCCGCAAGAGCCCTTCCATGCCTCCTAGACATCCTCGGAGCCGTTAATAAGGTTTTCTAACGCCCATCAAGTTCATAAGGATCTCGCTCTCCAACTCTCGGACCTTTTTTCGAGCCCGAGAGAGAACACCGCAAACACCATTCTTATTGGACCGACGCGTCGTTGGAATATTCAGAGGTGCGCGGACCCGTTTTTCCATCGTAACGAAGTATCGCTCTAGATAATCAACACCCCATTTTCCCGCCCAGGCTCTTTCACTCTATCACGAGTATAAGTCCCTCACATCAACCAACACATGATCCTGTCTTGCTTGGTCGCATCCGTCAATGAAGTCCTCCCCGAAGCCGCCCAGAGTGTCGTCCCAACCCTGTATGCTCTCGTATATGTGCTTCAGCAATGTGCGGGAATGGCGCCCATGCCGTCCCCTGTTGTCATGAGAGTATCGAGAGCAACCGCCGAACTCCTGGTAGGAGCCGCCTCGACACGAGAATAGCAAAAGGTACCCGTGCACCATCTCGTGGATCAGCATCTCGACAATCTGGCCAATCGTCCACGCCCCGGCCGCTTCGATGTCGACATCGACGACGGGAAGCGATCCGACGTTGTCGTTCTGCACCCCGACCCGGAAGCTGCTGCATGAGTCTTCGCAGTTCTCGTTGCCGTCCTGGATAGTGATTCGGAGATAGGGTAGCTCCCGGCCGGACGGACGTCTGTGGGTGTGGGTGAGCCAACCTTGCAGGAAATACTGATCAACGATCCGCGCCACCTCGAGGATGTGATCAAAATGCTCTTGGCTTTGGCTGTCGTAGAGCTCGTGGAGCCCTTCGATCAAGGCATATTTCAGTTTGTCCTTGGCATCGATTGCGTCCTCTACATCGAGAGAGAGGCCATGCTGAATGGTTCTCGTCACCAAGTCGTCAATGTAGTAGGCCCCATACTGACCGTGCGGCTGAAGGTCGGAGCTAGAACCGGGTATTCTGTTACTCATGTGAACGACACAAGGACGAAGAACGACGTCTATCTGGCGAGATCCGCCGGCATGTCTGTTCATGGCTTCCGTTCGACTATATGTGACTGGCTCGGATGTTGCGGTCTTTTGAATGGTTGGGAAGGATCGTGAGGTTCAATGGCGCGGACAGCCGTACTTATCAATACTGTACACCTGCGTTTAGAAGCCAACACTGCAAGGCCATTGTTTGGCTGTCGACCTTGAAGGCCAGGGCCAGAGTTGCGCATTGATTTGACCCGACTGCCGACCTACACAGCGCTTGATGGCCTGGCTCGACAAAGAACGAACAATGAGTTGGTTTTGTGTTGGGGTTGGAGCATTGTCGAAAATGTCACAAAAGTTGGCCTAACACATCACTTCTCGACTTTGTCCACGGTTGATGACTGACTGGAGAGCCTTCACACAAAACACAAATGCTGGTTGCGTTTGCGCCTTCGGTACTCAAACCTCGCTGAGTGTGCAAGTCATAGTCGCTCCACAACTCACACGACAAAGTCGTCCAGAGCGAGGCTCCATCCCGCCCCCCCCCCCCAAACCGGATTGTTGCCCCCACGGGAGCCGGGGCCCGTGCCGTTGAGATTTCGATTCCACCTCTGACAGGTGCCGTTTACAATTGAACCGTAAGGGTCACGTCACACATGTACAGTGAAATATCGTTGAACTAGAATTGCTGCTATAATTGTTGTGGAAAAGGCGGTGCTAGAGCCCGGGCCGTAACTGAAGGAAGACACATTCATGTTGTCGCATTAGAGGTGAATATAGCTCGACTCCAGCGCGAAGGTGGTATTAGCCTCCGCGACCTGTATAATGGTAACGCCAACAATAGATAAGAGCTCCTGCTCCATACCGCTTGCCGTGACATGATACTAGCATGGATTGCCGTGATCCTTGGGACTGAGCGTGGGTGTCAAAGTTGACCACATCCGCCGGTCGGGCAACAATTCCGGAGCGGGTTTCAAGCATGCGCAGGATAGACTAGCCGCCAAGAGGCGAGACTTCACAGACAAGCAGGAAGAAGAATGCGAATACCTAGGTTGAGGGCTCGCAGCTGATAGTAAACGATAAGAGTGCCCACCGCCCACAGTTCAGCTCCCTATTAGGTACTCGAGGACTCTCCTCGTCGCTCCTTTTTCCAAATTTTCATCATGTGGTTTGCGCCATCTGACGGCCGGCAATTGTCGCGAAAATGATCTGGGAGAGGGTTGCGAGCTAGGCTTTCCCCCTGCAATGAATTCCCTCACCGAACGACATGATTCGGGCAGAGAGCATTTCCGATGGTGATCGCATTCTGATACCGCCCATCAAGGCCACCCTCAATCTTCTGCCCATCGGCCCGCGACATCAAAAAGAGCGAATGCGAGAATAAAGAGCTGGACGAGTGACTGCAGAGACACCGGAGAGGATCAAAACAGATCCCCGTTAGCCTTTCAAAGCTAGTGCGCCGTGCCAACTTCTGGGGCATGGCTCTAATCTGGTAACGTGTCGTGCTCAACGTCTTAGCCTGGCCTCCATGCATATTCCACGTCCTCATAACGCGGCGTCTTCGTCAGAGAAGTTTGTTCCAGAGGTCGGTTCTCGATATCCATCGTGCTACCGCATCAAAGACATCAGGTTGAGAACAAGAAAGGGGTTCTTTGAGGGGTAAGGTCTCCAGACCTCCCGGGCAAATTTGTAAGGCCTGTGGATATCATAAGTAACAGACAACAGCGGGAAAAGTAGCTAACAGGATTCTCCTGCAATCCTTCAGGCCCCGAGCTGGAATTGCCAACTCCTGAATCAAAATGACTAGAAAAGAAGGGAAGAAAAAAAAAAAATCACGACCGGCCTTGGCGCGTAGCTGAAAATCACCTCCCCGCGTCCAAGGTCCCGTCGGCAGATCAACCCATCAGTGGTTAGGCAACTGCTACATGCTGTTAGCACTCACAGCTGGTTTCGAATAATTAACTAAAAATAAGTAGTTTAATATTCAAACCAGGTATATTATAGGAATTGCAAACACAGGAGCGATGGTGTTGAATTGCAGCAACGCATGTTACCGCGACCTCTGAAGTAGCTTCACACTGGAGCAGCTTTTTTTGCAGTTGCATCTTATCAACGTAGACAGTTGATTACTGAACGAGGCCAGCTTAAGACGAATCGTTGAGCCATGCTATTTCCAGCTCTGATCTCTTCCAACTGCGTTGACCTTGTAATGGTGCCAAGAACGCATGTGAGATATGCCTCGCTCGCTGTGAACGAAGATTTACAGAATAGGGGTCTGGCGCAGAAACCTCGACATTCCCCCCTATTTAGCTTGAAGCACCATATCAGAAACAAATACACAGAAATCACAACAATTGTGTTTCGGTTTCGTGATCTTCAGTTCAAACTGCCTGCTGTCACATCTCATGGCGGTTTTCTTATACGCCACCATCTCCCTCGGCCGGGCTTTTCCACCGCTCAACGTCCCCAGGAACAACAAGCCCAGAAGGGAAACGAGACAATCCGCAAGCTTGCAGCTGGTACAAGGCCCACAAGCTCTTCAAAGACGGCACCAATCGCTTGTTCGGCATGGCAACAGAACAGTCCGTACGTCAGTTAATCGTCCCTGTTCGAGGTTTCGACAATGTTGATACCTCCGGCTTCACATCGGCCTCGCAGCAAGCCACCAAACGCGCTGCCCCTTGCTCCGGGACGAGATCCTGTCCCCTCTCTTCCACAGCTCGAGCCCAAAGTCCTCGTACGGGTGGATTGCCTCGTCCGTCAGCCCAAAGTCCCCCAGCCCGGGCGCCCAGCTCTGGATCTGGCACACGACGGCCTTCAGCAGCGCGACGAACGCCAGGCCGTGTCCGCCGCCGTCCGCGTTGCGATGCATGACGTCAAAGTCAACCTCACACTGCTCCCGGCGGCAGGAGAACAATATCAGATACGCATGCACCATCTCGTGGACCGCAATTTGAACAAGCTCCCTGAGTGGTAGTTGCGTCCTCGTGCCGTCGAGGTGGTAGCGGACCGTGCTCAGACGGATCGCGATGCTGGGACCCCCAGACGACTTGTTACCCCGGAGAGGCTGCGTCCAACCTACACGACCCCGTGCTTGTCCGACTTCTAGAAGTACGGGGTGGGACACGTGATTGATCTGAGATGTCGGGAAGAGCACGCCCAAAAGGCACAACTCATCGATGGCCTTCATGAGGGAGAAAATCGTGCCGGGTGAAACGATATTCGGATCCGTTTCGGTGCCTTGATCGGATAAAACGCGGGCGACACTGTTCTTCAGCGACTTCTCGCACGTGTTCCACTGGACCGGGCCCAAAACACTTTCGGATAAGGTGATGGCGACATCGTTGATGTTGTATGAGTGCGGTTGAAGGAGGTCATCTTGGTGAGCCTTTTGAGAATGGTGTGGGCATTGTTGTGGGAGGAACCTGGCTCGCTTCGATTCTGCCATTTCAGTCTGCCACGTTATTGTATGTGTGTGTATGGTATGTTTGTGAAATGATTTCCAAACGTTTCTTCGTTTCTTGGTTCTCTCTTTCGACGATCGTGTCGCTGGCAGGATCATTTTGTAAATTCAACTCTGGTCCGCAGCGACGCTTGGGTACGTGCGGCACATCTGACACCTGTCGCAGGCGCGGGCACGCTCCCCTCAAAAAGCGCTCTTGAGAGAGGCGCATGGTTTCGAAGCAGAGGCTCGATCGACTTGATCCGCTTCGTCGGTGACGATAGATGGTGTAAGCGTGGTTTGCACGCTTTATAGCGGGTTTTGATGCCGCATTGCCGTCAACGGCAACCGCCCAAAGCACGGAGAAGACCAGTAGTGAAGCCAATGCTTGCTTGATATGAGTGATGGAAGGGTGGTGTGGCTGCCTGTCTGGAAGACGGGCCCGTAGATGAAAGGTCTAGTTAATGACGAGGTAGAAGACGAACGGGATTACAAGATGATAGCCTGGTATGATATTCCGTCCGCCAGCCCATAATAATGCACCAGAAAACCCCCGATGGTGGTAGAGACGCCCGCAGTAGTATATGGAATAACTCCGTCGCCATGCTTAAGATGCTTTTGAAACCAATCCAACCGCCTTCTTGTGAGCCCCAGACAAAAGAGAAGGAAAAAGTGGTGTGGATAATGCCCTATACACATGTCGGAGATGCATCTCGACATCCCCCAACGTATGGTGAGGCGACCGATTTTGGAGTATTGCCGTAACCCAGTACAACGATCCCTCTCCGGTCGTCGGGACAGGCCCATCGCCCGTCATATGAAATAGGCCTGTCGTGTGACTCATAATGTCGTTCGCGGTGGTTCGACGAATGCCTGCTGGGCACGTAGTCGTCCGGGCATAAGCGTCGGCCACGTCGCTCGCGTATCTCGCCTTCTTCTAAAGGATCCACATCTTCCGAGTCCTCCTCAGTTGTCGTGGGAATTGGGGAGGTGGGACTGCTGGCCCGACTGGCCGGGAAGTATTCGCGGTGGTCGTTGATGCAATAGTCCCATCGTTCCTGGGATTGATATCGGGATCGCTCGTGATATTGGCGTTCGTAATGTGTATGATGGTGAGGGCTAAGATTTTCATGGACCTCGGGAAACACGGCCCTGAATGTTGTGTTCATGGAATTCGTGTCGTCAACTGGGAAGTACTCTTGATCTTCCCGAAAGTGGTCCAGGTCGGCTTCCATGTCTCGGAGGTGCAGGTTATCCGAACCTGCCCAGAGATCGATGAGTTCGGCGATCCTTCGAAAACCCGCCGTGTGGCCTCCGCATTCGCGAGCTTTGACACCGCATTTGATAAAGAGATAGCTGTGGATGAGCTCGTGCAAAAACGTAGAAATGAGCAGCCGTCGGTTGTACTGTTTGTTCTTGAGAATTGGGTTAGATAGAACGATGAGGGTCTCAAAGCCTCCCATTTTAGAACGTCGAAGAGCCGTAGTGCCGATGATGTGATCCTTGTACTGGGCGCTGGATGCATGGGACCAGTCCCATGTGACGCGTTGCGATAAGCTGTTGTGGAAGAAGATTTCGTTCGCGGCAGAGAAAATGCTCTCCAAAGCAGCATTATCAATGGAGAATTCGGCATCCCGGGATCGTGGGCGGATGAGGGACCGCAGGATTCTCTCATGCTGGGTGTCCTTCGTACGTCGCCGGCCTAGGTGCAGTCGGTCTTCGACCAGTCTCGCCGCGGCGTCGTCGTCCAGAAGCGTCAAGTCGTCGTCGTTTTGGGCGCTGTAAATGTTTGTGTCCGAGGAAATGGAGAGGCCGGAGGCGGTTCGCTCCATTTGCGATGAGCTGACATCGGCGTCGGCTGGGTCGGGTGACGGCGACGCTTGCTCTCGAATGACCAGAAAAGACAGGTTCTGGACAGGCACCGAACCCCTCGGGGAACAGTTGCGGTGTGCACCTGGGGCAAGATGCGATATCCGGGTTCTCTTGTGCGGAGGCGTCTCGTCGTATGCGTACGGATGGTCGTCGTAAAAAGCATCCTCATCAGTGTGACCAATCCTCCTTTTGCCACCCACAACGTAGAGATCGGGACTGAAGGCCTGGCCGTTGCACTGGGACAATGGGCTTGCCTCCCCGCCAACCACCCAAAACGCCATTGAACATGCTTGAGATATTACAAATGGTGGAAAAGGGCGAAGTTGGAGGGAATGGGCAAACCTCGGAGTGTCGGGGAAGGACGAAGGATGAAAGGCCCGGGGGTTTCTCAAGGTGAAATACGGGGGGGGTCTGTGTTGGTTTGGGTGTCATGTGCGCCCGGAAACCGCATGAACACCGGTGGAGAAGGGTGGCCGGCCCCGGGTGTGTTGTGGTTAAGTACGGTAACTAACGAGGAATGGGTATGTAGCTTGGGAGAACCATGCTAACGAAACGAAACAGAGTGCCAGTCCGAGGGCGGAAGAAGTGAGGCGAGGAGCAGGTGATCCCGCCGTTTTCCGTCAACCAGTCTGTTATTTTAAAGAGAGATAGCTGCATGGAGAGACCCAGCTCATGGCAGGACAGCGTTGCAAGGCCCATCTAGCCCCCCCCCTTGGCTATTCATCTGCAGAATCCCAACGAGAAGAACAAAAGGAATGTAGCTTCGGGTGGACGATAGCCGGGCGGCGGACGACAGGCGGTCCTGAGCGGTGAGGGAGGGAGCTAAGACGGATATGCGTATGCGGCGTTGCGCATCGCAGATTTAGTGCGAGGGCCATCGCTGCCGCCCACCCCGACCGGTGCAAGGAACGTGGCGCCTCCAGGCGGATTGTTGTTGAAACTTGACGAACCTACGCAGTGTAAGCTCCAGCTCGCCCCCCCCCCCCAACCTTGTACCCACCGAGACTGGCTGTCATTGCACGCCTCAGTTGTGAGGTGGTGCTGCGCTGACTGGGCAGAGCATTGCTGGTTATGCGTGCATGCGTGCATGTATGCATGCATACAACAACAGCATGGCAGGCTTGATGATGATGATGATGATTGATGATGCTGTTGCCGCTGTCTCGTATATATGTAGGCCATCCGCCCAAGAGCTTTTATGCTTCTTTTTCATTTTTTTGTCTCGCAGTTGTGTGTACCCCCATCGTGGTCAGACAATGGGAATTCGCGAGTCCGCCGCAAGTTCGGCGGCCCGCCGACTCGAAACAGGATAGGAAGAGAGAGACAGGGTGGGAATGCAAGTCGAGACATGCAAAGGGCAGTGGGAGTGAGCAAGCGTTGTCGCCAGCAGAGCAGGGAGGCGAGGGAGTCGGAACCTGGGCCGTACCTATTCAACAAGACCTCTTGTAGCAAAGGGGCTGGATTTTTGCCCTGCATGATTGGCCCTGCATCCTCGGCCTCGGAATTCCATTGGTTGCCTCATCTCCGTGCATATGTTGCTCCCTCGTCGGCTCTGGTCGCCTCCTTAGATGAGGCTTTCCAATACTCGGACCCTGGAAGAGATTGTTATCCACTGAGATTGCTATCCACTGAAGCAACGTAACGCTAGCCTCTCTTCTTGTTGCTGACTTACTACAGTGGGGTGCCAAAAGTCATGGTACACCCACTAATTTCCCAGCCACCAACATTATGACTACATCACTTTAACTAGCAACAAAACCATCAACTTTTAGAAATATATAGTTAAACTATAGTAAAAATAAACCTAAAAGTTTACCTATTAATATTGTGTATACTAACCCTGTGCTTATATAACTGCCTCTAAGCGCTATAGCAATAAATAGATTAATACCCTAATTTTCTCCTATAGGATAGCCTCTTACGCCTTAGTAATTTGCTCTTTAAATAACCCTATATCTAATTAGTTTTTCTTAAGATAGAATATATTAGGGTATAGTCTTTATAGGTTAGACTTTATTATCTACTAATAATGCTTAATAGGGTTAAGATCTAGTAAGTAAGGTGGCTATTTTATCTAGGAGACTGCCTTATCTAAGAGCTACTTTATTATATTTACTAACGCGTAAATAGGGGCATTATCCTAAACAAAATGCCTTATATTATTACAGCTAGGTAGATATCCTTCTTCTAGGCACTAGATATAGCTATTAGCGCTATTGTCACAGGACAATATGCGGCCGACCTTCGGATCCACTTTCTCGGCCTTGCCGATGGATCCATCGGTTGGGCCGATATCCTGCCGACAGCTGGTGCCCCACTAGGCCCCACCTGTCGCCAGTCTATAAGACCGGCTGTTGCCAGCTGTAGCTCTAGCTTAGTTAGTTATCGAATCTATTACCTATTTAACTGTGTCAAGTGGTAGCACAACTAGTTGCGATACCATGGGTAATTAACCCTCTGCCGCCGTTAATAACAATAAGAGGCAAATACGCTAATCGCTGTTAAGAGCTATTTAATTAGTTATCTTAAAGGTAACTAATTAGAGGCATCCTTTCACTAGCCTAGCTACCAATATGCGCCCACTAGCAGATTTTTTTGCCGCCGGCCTACGCCGGACTAACCCATCCGGCCAGATCCGCCACACCTCTAGCTAGCAACACTACTATTGCTAACCTTTACTTCAACAACCTCACTTTTCTTACCCTTCTTTACACTCCTTTATATCAGTTATCTTACCCCTTTGCACGTTAAGGTCACCGCCGCTAGAGCTGCCGTCAATTAAAGCCCTTAAACAACAACAACAACAAAGTCGCTGGCTAAAGCCCTGCTGTAAGTGCAGTGCCAGATTTCCCTCAAGATCTACGCTTTTTTGCCATATATACGCCAATAACTGTAGCCAACAACATCGCTGCTAACTTTACCGTCAAGACTTCATATCTCAGAATACCCTTTTTTGCCACCTGCTAGACTGCTAGCCCCCATTGCCCTCACCTTCAAAGCCCTCACTGCCTTTGTCGTCAACTTCACTATCACTGCCGTTAATAACAACTGTCTCATCGCTACCCTCCTTACCTATAAGTAAATAGTCTACATCGCTAGTAGTGCTAACCCTCCTCTTAGCCGCAAAATTTTATGCTACCGTTAAGGCCCTTACCTAAAGGATAATACTAATCTAGAACCAGGAGGATATAGTCCAATAGGAGAGTGAATAGGCAAGGGACACACAAAACCCCTAGCCAGCGGCAAGATACTCAAAGCCACCGCCGCTAACACCGTTGCCAACGTACGCCTAACTAGCGTACGCCTAACCAACAGCCTAACGTGGCCTCAAGTCATATGCCCAGCTACGCCTTCAAAAGCTACATTAACTACACCCTGGATTTAGAGGAGGTTACCCGCCAGGAGGTAAACCCATCCATCAGCGCCTTCAAGAACAAGAGGAGGAAATCCAGTCCCTTTAGCAACAGGTCCACCAGCTTCAGGATAGCCCACTGCTGCTGCTACCGCTACCTTGTAAAGCTGCCTAGTACTATAGTTAAGATACCCTAGATAAAGACAATAAGGATAAAGACAACAATGCTACTAGTTACACTACAGAAATAGGTCCCTAGGATAATAATAATAGATCTATTTGTACAGGGGATTATTACTATAACTTTAATAAATTTAATAGCCAGCTAGTAGCTAACAGCTAGCTAATAGCTAACTGCTAGCCTACTTCTAGCTAACTTGCTTATAGTTAGCTAGTATCTAGCTAACTTGCCTATAGTTAGCTAGCATCTAGTTAATTATCCTATAGTTAGCTAGTATATAACTATTAACACTGCTAGCCTATGTATATAACTAACTAGCCTATATATTAACAACCTATATATACGCCTAGCTAGCTAGCTTATAGTTAACTAGCCTAAAGTCTATACCTATACCGATATACGCCTAGCTAGCTAACTTATAGCTAACTAATTTATAGCTAGCCCACGTATATACCTAACTAACTAGCGTACTAAGCTAACTACTATTAACCTAACTACCTAGCTAGTAATAATAACTAGGATTATAGCAGTAATAATAATAGTAACACTATTAAAGACACTAATAAATATAGAGACTTTAATAACTATAGGGATAAATACAGTAATAATAGATATAGTGATAGTTATAGTAATAATAATAACTATAATAAGGACTATTAGCCCTTGACTATTAACCCTTAGGTATATCCTTTCTACAACAGCTATAACAGCCTTGTAGAAGCCTAAGGCACACAGTTAACTACCCTGTCAGCCAGCAAATAATCGCTATACAACAATTATTTCCATTATTAGGGGGGCACTTGTCACAGGACAATATGCGGCCAACCTTCAGATCCACTTTCTCGGCCTTGCCAATGGATCCATCGGTCAGGCCAATATCCTGCCAACAGCTAGTGCCCCACTAGGCCCCACCTGTCGCCAGTCTATAAGACCAGCTGTTGCCAGCCGTAGCTCTAGCTTAGTTAGTCATCAAATCCATCACCTATTTAACCGTGTCAGCTATATTCTCTTCTTCTTAAGGTGTTATCTCTCTCTAAGAAGACTAGCTTACTTTAACTATCCTCTTATATTATTACCTACACTATTATTATAATATTAGCCTTAATATAACTTATAAGGTTAATAAACTACTTTTTTTATTATTCTTAAGGTAATCTAAATACCTAGGCAGTTAGATTATTTATATTATTCTAGTATAAAGACTTATCTAAAAACTAAGACTTTACTAAAAAATTAGCTTAAAGACTCTAATAAACACTAAGTTTACTAGAAAAGGTACTATTATTAATTCTTTAATATTCTTTAGCTATATATATATAAATTAAAGCTATTAAGTAGCTATTTCTTTTATAATAAATAGCCTTTATATTACTTTCTATTTACAGTAGTTAGCGCCTTATAGGATACACTTAAGGGTCTATAGGCTTATAATATAGCTATACTTATAAAGGAGCTATTAGTAGGTAACCTAGGAGTTTATTTTTACTAATCTAACTATACCCTGTTTCTAGGTATATAAGAGTTTCTTTAGCCTTCCTTTTTAGGGTATACCCTTAGTAGATTGCTTATTTTTCTATTATTAAAGTGTATAGGCGACTACGTTAACAGAGTAGTTAAATAAGGCTACCGCGTCACAATAGCTTCTACTGCCTAACACAAGGGCAATAATTGCTATACATTAGTCCCTAGTAAGCTTATACCAAAATCCACGACTTTCTAATAGATAAGAACAAAAGGCTTATAAATTAGCCATAATTTACTGAAGTTATAGGAAAAATAAGAAGAAGAGGTGAATGTTGGAGGACGTGTTGTGACGCGTTATTAAGTGGGGTGTACCATGATTTCTGACACCCCACTGTACTATAAGCTTGCCTATCATCTATGACGCCTCCGCGAGACCCACGCTCCGCGGGACAGATTCCGGTACAAGCCCAATCGAATTGGCAAGGCGTGACCAAATATGACCGGGAAGCTGACTCCTGCACCTCGTCGTCGGGCCAGCGTATCTGTACCGCAAGCAGAAATCCGATCCACGGCTACGCCACGATGCCATGCCCATGCGATATGTTTGCGATGCATCAAGGATTTATTCCATTTGTTTGTTGTTGTTGATGCCGCTCGGCGAGATGGCGAGCTTCCAAGGAAAGAAACTAGGGTCGGGTCTGCTGCATTGGTGGCACTTGGGGCGACAATGCTCTTCGCCTTGTCTTCGTCAGGGATGGGTCCCGGGCGTCCAGTCCGGTGCCGATCCTTGCTTTTTCGGCTTACCCAGTTTGGGATCTTGCTTGTTCATCTGTTCGTCGAGTCTCAGCCGAACCGAGGGGTCATGTACTGTATGTCGTACCGTATGTGCGAACACTACGGCCCACCCGTACGAAGTATGCAGTCCCACCATTCTTTCCGTCGTGAGGCCCGCAACGCCATAAAGTGCTTGCGCCTGTCAATCATCGTGAGGCCCCGTTAGACTCGGACGAGACGAGCACGGACTGCGGGCACGCCAGAGTTTACCTATTCATACCTCCCTTGTGTCTTCGTCGAGACTTCGACCAGAATCCATGATTATAGCATGCCGGCCTCCCCTCCCTCAGTGGATTTTGCGGGGATTTTGGAGATTGACGCTACGTGTGAGCGATGCCGTCCCAAGGTCATTTGTTGTACTCGATGAGGAGATTTGTTTCGTCTTCTGTAGATCGGCAACGCACGAGCAGATCCTTTGCCGCGATTGACAGGCTTGTCGGCATCCCTTCGCTGAATTGGATATGAGAGACCGGCGGCTTCTGTTGATCGTAAGTTGCGGAAGGTTCGACCGATGCAAAACCGTCTGCAGGTCTCAATTTGGGAGTCAACAGGTGGAGATGCGTGACATTGGAATGGAAACAGACGCTGCTGAAGGACTGTTTGGAACCTTGGAGTCTTTGAAATACGCCGAGATATGGGAGGCGGTGGTAGTGGACGGAGAAACAATCGCCTCAGATGGTGCCGACGATACACGGAGTGGAAAAGCGGTTCTAGAGGCCATAACTACCTGTCAATTTGGGTCCCCTCCCCTCCCCTTACCTAGTGTAGGTAACTAACTGGTAGATACTTAGGTACCTACCATTTATACCGGTTGGTTGGTTAGGTACCTAGGTACCCCGTAGGTAGAATAAATAAACAGAAAGTTCTAGGGTTCGGTCTTATCGATTATCTTATCGCATCTCACCAATTCCTCGCTCCAGGAGTCTAGAACTCCGGCCATTGGCCTGTGGGTTGCCGGTTGTGCCTGCCTACTCCAACGACGTCTCATTCCTTCCCGGTAGACTTGTCTGGATAGCCCCCAAGTTGCCGGTGGGACGGGCTTTTCACATCTTGCGATAACGCCATTGCCTGGAAGATTCAATACAGGTCAAGGGAACAAATGGTTTGTTGAACGCGTCTTCCAGCAACGGATAAACCATTCTTTGTAGAAGCATTCGTTATAAACAGACCAAACTACCTTTTGCCTCCAAATCGAGTCTTTGTATGCGTTTTGTCATGTATATTGAGAAGAATTTCTCCGTAGCCGAAAGGTTGGCCATCAAGAGCCTCATCTTCAATCCTGTCATCTAATATACTAGATCTCCAACTTGGTTTCGTACATCCTCATCAAGAAGTACTGCAATAACTAGTTGAAAAGTTGATTAATTAACACACTCTTCTTCTATCTGTTGTCTTTCTCAATAATTATGTTATTTGCATTCTGGGCCAGCCAGTTCATAACTGGCTACTTCAACATGAAAGCGAGAATGAGTCGAGGGCCAACCGTGGCGTGGTCAAGGCACTTACGCCAGCCACGAAAGTCAGGCAAGGCTCTCACAATGGTCTAGTTGCCTTCCTTCAACTCATTGGTCCAATTACTTAGCAATTATCTGTATATGATGTTCTCCTCTCTGAGGCCCAAGTGACTGAAGCAGACATTGGGAGGATACCATTCGCTTCCCTAGTATCAGGTTACCGATGTTCGAATAGCCTAGATGTTGTTCCTAATGTGTCTTGCAGTGGATAACGGTATTCGATTTCGATCAACATGAGTTACAATACTCAAGTACAGGCCAGTACACACATTACGGGTGTTATCATACAAAACCAAGATGCTGCAGAGCCGCAGTCCGCTGTTCATTCTTTGACCTGAGAAATACAACTGTAATTATGCAGTATGGCACACATCGGGGTAATAGACAGCCTACCGAGGAGGGGAGGCTGAAGACCCGGCATTCACATTTGTGCTGGCTGCCATCTCGAACTCGGCATCACGTCTCCTGGCCGCGCGACCAAATCTACCCGCGTTGTTGCTCCTTCCTTTTTGCAAACAGAAGCACCCGATAAACTTCTCTCACACACCTCTGCTGCCCCTTTTTCTTCTCAATCTTTCCTCCATACCGCGTCTCGAGATATTCTTCTCACCCGCAACCCCCTCACCCACAACCCTTTCCACCACACTTTTCCTTTCACCCATCCAAAATTCTGTCTGCAACCTGGGAACATTCTCATCTTTCTTCTCCAAACTGAACATCGACCTTTTTTGTTTTGCTTCGAGGGCACTCTCTCATCTCTCTTCTTTTGTTGCGACCAAGACTTCTTGCAAGCTTCAAACGCGAAAGCAAGTATTGCATTACAAAAGGGCTTTGACCAGAATCACCGATATTTTGCAAAGTCAGCTCTTCAAGATTATTCTTTGGAAAGCACAACTTGTATCATCACTTTGAATGGTCGCTCACTTCTAATCTTGGAGACCGTGGCTGCCCACCGACTTCTCACAGCCCGTTAACGACTCTTGCCTGTTCTGTCACTCTATTTTCTCCCTTATCCCATCTGGACTTCGTTCTCAACAAAAGAAAAGGTTCTGCCGGGTAAATTCACAGACTTTCATCGAACAAGAGCCTCAGCATCTTCAGACTTTTCTACTCCCTGCGGAAAGACTCAGGCACTTAGTCAAATATCCTTTGTCCTCATCAACCCCAGAGCATTCCAAGAGGACAAAATCTTTTGCCCCTTCTACTTTTACGCAACACAGAAGGACTCATCCATTACAAGGATGTCGAACAATCAGGATACTCAAGAGGTAAGTGTCCCTCATTTGTTTTCTTTGAGCTTTGAGCTTCGAACTGACTTTGTTCAGCGGCTATCTAAGCGGTCTCTCACACCCAACCGACCTCTGTACAATTCTTTCAATGAGGCACATCGACACATTGTTCCTACCACTCCCAGAATTCCCATTGAGGAAGAGCTTCGCGTTGAGGAGCAACTCACCCAAGAGCAAGTTGAAGAAATCCTGGAAGTATCCAACGCATCCAGACAGCCCAAGGGACAGGCTGAAGCGGAACGGTCACAGCAGTCTGTTGCAGGGAACCAATCTGGCCATGAGAGCAAGTTCACCAACCAATCCTCCACCTCCGCCATTGAGTTTCAGACCAAGACGACCGACCAAGGCCCCCATGCGTCTGTCTCCCTCTGTGGATCGGACAATGAGAACGCTTTTGTCGACAGCTCGGTCTCCTCTATCCATGAATCCAAGGACCAAGTCAACCAATACAACACTGCTGAGAACCCCTTCAGTGGTCAGCAAGCAACGTTCGATTATCCAGATGCTTCCTCCTTCTATCCGGAAGATGGCGATAATTATTATCCAGCCTCTACTGATGACGATTCTTTTCAAGACAAGGTCAAACTTGAGCCCAAGTCTTCCCCTGCTCTTGCATCATCTCCCACTCTACCTCCCCCCATTGCTCCAAACTCTGAGCACCCACCCCATCAGTTGCTCCAGTCTCACCTGGATGATGTCATCAAGAAGAAGCGTACTCTCGATAATCTTGAAGCTACCCATCTTTCTGGTCAGAACGGCACTCAGTACCCGATTTTTATCGACCGCGGTGTTCTGCCCCCTCCCGCTATCCCTGCAACGCAGCCTTTCTCTATCACAGAGCAAGCTACCCACCCTGAGTCTCATTATGAAAGAGACATCTCGGATATCTCAGAGGGCCGGTTCATTGGTGAGGACAAAGGAAAGGCTTCTGTCAGTCGTCTGAACCCATTTCATGCTTTCTCAGGCATATCATCCCATGCTTCAGACACTGATGCTCAGCCATCCGAACCTGAGGACAACAAGGTCTTCTTGCGCCCTCATGCTGAGAAGGAGGTCTCCCGGGCTCTTCATCATGCGACCGGACTCAGTCTGCCTTCTAGTGGTCTCATTGTTCGTCAAGGCCTATCTTCACGGACCTACAATTCACAGCAGTCACCTTACCGCATGCGTTCCAGTCAACAAAAGAAAGACTTCTATCACGCCCCAGCCATAAACTCAGACTGGCAGATCACTCAGTCCGGTATCAAGGTCCCTGTCTCAACGTTATGCAATCAAGATGAGGTCGACATGCAAGCCACAGAGCCCTACAGTGCTATTGACAATACTCGGATGGCAACAGTGGCATCAGGCGACACAGAGAACCGAACAGGCCTTGAGGGAGACGAAGACTGGCGAACCGTCACTGATGACCGTGAATTTCTTACTGGCGCTGTTGGTCGTGTTATGACTGGCAGCAGCATTGCCAACGTCTCTGACACGCTCTTGGTCCAACAGAATCAGCGCACAAGAGTTCCTGCCAGTCGCAAGACCTCAGCTACCAAGGCCTGGTGGGAGAAGGGCAACCAGCAACCTTCGATGCCCTCACGTTCTCCGTCCCCTTCCTTTGTCAGACCCCCAAGCCGTGTGTTCCAGCAGAGACAGCCTAACCAGGAAGGATGGGAGGAGATTGAGCTGGAGCCCATGCCTACCCCATACAGAGACTTTTCATGGCCCCGCATCCGAGCCGAGCGAGAACGGGCTCAGCAAGCCATGGAAGCAACACAGCCAGCTAGCAACGTGTACGCCAACCTCCCCTTCCCCTTGGTCGCCCTCGAGGATGCTGCCAGACGCCAAGCTGTCCGCCGCGCCAGTGGTCTTGAGGACCAGACTCTCTCCGGCCGTATCCTCTTGCCTGGTCTGCCTTTGTCTTCTCAGGGTGGTAGCCACAGTCTCCCTCGCCCAGCCATGCGAAAAGATTCCGCACGCTCAATATTCTCCCGCATTAAGAACTCCGACTTTGATTGTCGCAACCTCTCTAACCCAGGTAAAGTACCCGCTTCTCTCACTCATGGCTTGCCCTATATATTCTTGCCCTCCCACACCTTCTGCTCTTGTCTTCCTCTCTTCCTTCTTCCTCCTTCCCTCTTCAACAACAACGCTTCAAATCTACCGCATTCGAATTCCGGTTCGAAAACCCACGCTCGAATCACCACGTTCGAAACCCTCACTGGAAGATCTCATTCCCTCTCGGCGCTCCCTCGTATGAACAAGCCCTCATTCTGCCAAGCTACCTTGAGTCAACCGTTTTTTCTAACTCTTCTCCTCAATATAGGACACCGGGAAAACACCTTTGGGCAACCCGCCCACGAGTACTGCTCAACACAGTACTCGGGGCGGGCCCAAACCCCCTTGTCGAGGGAGCGGGCCTCGACCGCCGCCACGGCCAGGCAGAACGCCACGGCCAGCCACCGGGCTGCGGTCGAGGCCCTGGCCAACGACCCGTCGGCGGGCCGGAGGTCCTCGCCTCACCTCTACTCAGAAGAGGTGATGGCGAGGTACCGCGCCCTGCAGGCCGTCCGTCAACTGGGCGGCCAGGGCACCGACTCCGAGCTCGCCGACATGGCCGCGAGCATCAGAGACCTCCCGCTCTCCGAGAGGGCGGTGCGCCGCCAGAAGGCGTTCTACTGCGCCGCCATGGCGACCACCGGCGTCCTCCCCTTCGTGGGGTTCGCCATCCTCGCCCTCTCGGGGGACAGACTGCTCGCGGCCATCACCCGCGGAGAGTGCTCCGGCCTCTCCTTCCACCAAAGGCGCAACTTGCGCATCATGCTGCTTGTCGGCTGCGGTGTGTGGGTCGTGGCCTTCGCGGCCGGCCTGATCTCCCTCCTCGCCCTCCGCCACTGAGCGGCTGCGGCCTTTTTTTTTGTTGGATTACGAGGTAGGTCCTCCTTACTCCCTGCCCTTTTATCCTTATGTCCTAACTTGGACGCTAGCAGACGATGTTACGATTGCGATTTTGGGGTCACTGCCTACGGGCATACCCAGTTGGTTTGGTGCGGCATAGCGAAGGGATTGGGGGTGTGTCGGATTTACGCGTGGAAAGCATGCCTACCGTTATATCAAATAGAACACGTTGGGCACCACTCATCAAAGGAAGCTTGTACACATTGGGAGGCAATGGCTAAGATCGATGAAATCTGCTCACTGTATTACCGGAGCAACAGGCATGGTATCTAAACGCCCACGGTAGCCCCCCAAAGAAAAAGAGTTGATCGCCACCTTGGTTTCCTGCTACGTACTTACCCACGGCGGCGCGTGCTGGGGCCTTTCTTGGGCGTCGTCGACCTGGCCGTGGAGGAGCCGCTGGACGGAGGAGCGGCGGCGACGGGGACCTTTTGCTTGCCCTTGGCCTTCTTGGAGGGCGCGTTCCAGTAGTACGCCATCTGTGCGGCGAGCACGGCGTTCAGGAGGAAGCCGGCGATGAAGTTGTACAGGATGAGCTTGTCGTCGACCTCCTGGAGGGTGGTGAAGATGCGGGATAGAGAGCCAGCGAGGTAGTTGAAGACCTGGGAACCCGCAACGTCAGCAACACAAGTCTCGGGAACGATGGGGGTGGAGGGGGAAGCGGCAGAGAGGGGAGAAACTCACAGCGAAGGCGCTCAGCTGTCCGGTGCCGCCCTCCTGCCAGATGGCCAGGATCTGCGGGACCTTGCTCGCGACGCTCAGCACGCCCGCGCCAGCCTGCAGGTACCCGAGGGTCTGCATGTCCACCAGGTTGCCGGTGAACAGCGCGGCAACGGCGGCGGCCAGGACCGTCACGAAGACGGCGGCGAGGCCGGCGCGGCGGGTATAGTTGAGGACCAGGACCGTGATGATGACGTTCTGTCCCATGATGAGCGCCGTCTCGCCGTAGGTGCTGAAGGGGAACTGGTTGCGGTAGTTGTAGGCCAGGGACACGATGTACGAGGCCGTCTCGAGGAGGTACGAGAGCACCGAGATGCCCTCGCCCGATTGCGAGGCCGTCAGCTTGCGGATCTGCGGTAGCTTGACGATGCCCGAGACGCCGACGATGCCGAGGCCGACGCCCTTGGAGAGGCCGAGCTTGATGCAGTCGACATCCTCAATGTTGATATCCAGGAGGAGGGACTTGTAGCATTGCTCGCCGATGATGGAGACGCCGAGGTCGCGGATCGGAGCCGGGAGGTTGTGGGTAATCGGCTGGAGGGCGGAGCGGACGGGGTCCATGTTTGCGATGTGAGGCTTCTGTTGACGGGGGAGGGGAAACTCGGTCAAGTTTTGTTTTGGGTGTGTCGCGTATCGCGAACCTTTGGTTTAGCACGCCGTCGAAGCCTTGAGGGAGCGTTTGTGCCGTGAGTCGGGAGAGTGGGCGGAGGTGGAAGGAAAAAGTTAACAGGCAGCGATTGTTGGGGCTGAGTGCCACCGCACGACGGACACGTTGAAGGAAGGGTTGAGGTCACTATGAACCCTGAATTGGAGGCCAGGGGGATGGTAAAATCATCCAGTCGGAGAATATCATGTGGGGAGCTAAGCTAGACTAGTTGGCCAATCTACTGTCGGCAGTTACCAAAGCTGCACCACCACCCCCCACGTCATTCCGTCCCTATGCAAATGCGAGAGCAACCTGCTCCCAGGAAACTCAGTTCGAGGCGCTCTCCTATTCCGTTGAGCCCTCGATGTTCCTTTTCCATGAGCGTTGACCGCCTTAAAGTCAAAATGAAAATATCCCCGCAACGCAAAGCACAGATTCGAGCCAGGTTGTCGACTTGAGCATTGATAACAACGATGCAGGTCAAGTTGTTGACATAGCCTGGCCAGCGTCCTTTACTTCCTTCCCTTTCTCCTTCCCTTTGAATTTTGAGAGTCGGTAAATGTCTTGATAAGGGAACTGCATTTTCCAAGATTCTTCACCGGCTCCCAGGTGTTGTCCTTCGCGGTGTAATCCTTCCACTTCACCATATACATATGCTCTTTGGTGATGGGGTCGATGCGGGAGCCGACGATCTTCTCCACGACATACTCCTCCCTGGTGAACTGCGGGTTGCCCGAATCTCCTTTGCGGGGAGTCTTCTTGGGACGACCAACACCTCGGCCATAAGAGAAAGAGGCCTGTCATTCTCTTGGTCAGTTCGGAATCTCGAAACACGAAGAAACAAGACGCAAATACCCTCTTAGTGGGAGCAGCCCGAGCCTGAGGGGTTTTGGCAGGAGCAGCCTTCTCAGAACCAATGCGAGTAGAGGCGCGGCTGGTTCGAACCGAGTCTATGATCCCACGTTGATTAGTTTTTGTGTATCGCCTGGGGAATAAGCGTCGGGAGACGAGCAGAGGCAGCTTGGCTTTGGACTTGCCTTTACCAGTTGTGTTGACCGGAATGGGTATCTGGTTCTTTCGCGGGCGACCGCGCCGGGTATGAACTGAGACAGGCTCGGGGACAGCGTCTTCCTTCACATCGTCATTGGAGTTGTGCACACTGGCACCTTGACTGAGCTCTCTAGCAGATTGTTGCATCTGAGTCACCTGGTTAGGCACATTCTTAAAGTATTCGCCGGCCTTGCGAACCTTCCGTTTATTGAGAGAAGGAGAGTCCGGAGTCGCGTAAGGCGAGGAAGACGAGTTTTCAGCCGATGGGACAGCGCTCTGCGGAGTTTCGGCCTCGACCTCGGGGCTTTCGGCCAATTTGAGCTTTTTGACAGCCCTACTCGTCTTGGAAGGGCGACCTGCTTTGCGCTTCTTGGTCTCAGCGGTGACGGGCTGTGCATTGGCAGCTGGACTGGAGGCTATGTCGGATTTGATCAGGGGTACATCCCCAACGTTAAAGCCTCCGCTGGTTGACTGGATCTTTCTATTAAGGTATTAGTACAAGGGAAGCTTGTCTTGGTTTATTGCTTATCACTTACGCTGTAGCGCTCGAAGCCGCGAGCTGTTCCATCGTCATCTCCTCCTCGCGACCCTTGAAAACTCGAGGCGCGGACATTATGAAATTCGGACTTGTTTCTGATGAGGGAAGATGATTTCGAAAAGATTGAATAAAGGAGGGAAAGACTGGTATTAAATGACGGCGGAAGGAAGAAGGTGGAAGGAAGAAGGTGGAAGCGCGGTAATAAGTCGTACCCACCTAGGCCGTATCAGAGGGTGATTGGTTAAATTGACTCTTTTCAGACTTTGGGAAAGAGCCTTGGTCATGTACCTACCTTACTTACGTTCTAGAATGGGTTGGACAATAACGGAAGTACAAGCCCTTTACCTAGGTACCTACCTAGGTAAGTAGGTAGGTAGACGGGTACTTCGGATCAGATTGCTGAAGCCAGACAGGCGCGTGATCCCAGAAGATTCGACTCCCGCTTTAATTGGCTGATATTGCTTTCGCTGGACAGGTAGCGCAAGGCTACGTATCAGGGCTTTAGGCCGCGAATATCTTGGGCGATACTGTTTGCTCAGGGTGACGGTATGAGAATGACGTACTGCGTCAAAGAACGCAACTGCAGGGGCTTAAAAGACAGAAGACCAGGGAAGCAAAGAGTCCAGAAGAAAGCGACTGGAGCAAACAAACCGTTCATCCCTGGCTTGTCGATGTTGGGCGCTTGGAGCCCAGGACACATGCTCAAAAAGCATGCATATAGTAATCACAAGGAGCGCCATGCGAAAATGGATTTGATTGAAGCACTCACTTGGACTTGAGCAAATTGAGCGGGAACCGCAAGACGCTTGATACCATTTCGCCTTCGATAAGTATATGGGCTTGAGTTCATTGACGATACACTGACCGGTCACCGGGGGCAAGTGTAGTCCACCATAGTCACCTTCCGAGTTGTTCCAACACAGCGCTCATTCATCGACTTCCTCTACTCGTTTATCTCCAAAATCGTGAAGTTGCCCAGATCTCGCTGCCATCTCGACCGGGTTCTGGACATCGACGACACCCGTCTTGCGCAGTCTTCCACGTCGTCAGCATGAGCTCAAAATAAAGAGCCGGGCTTGGCTTACCTTTCAAACAGTACAAAAAGCCTCTCCGCTTCTCTTGTTTTCTCATCTTCCGTCATTTCCGGGACATCCACGTGCTTCTCGGACTCTACAAACTGTCCCGTAATAGGGTTGACTGGCTTCTGGGCCTCGCCAGTGCTGAAAGCTTCAGATACACTCGCGGGGACCGGGATGTTGTTCTGGAAGAGAAAACCTGAGGCAAAGCCGTATCCGACGTTCTGAACAAACTTGGACGCATCCTGGTCTGACATGTCGAAGAGAAGACGCGAGATGGCGTCGCGCAGATGAGGAGTCAGGGGGTTCGTCGAGTTACGCAGCAGCCGTGACGTCAAGGATGAACCGCGACCAAGAACCTCTTTCCTGTCTTGTTCAGTTGGAAGAAGAGTCTCCCTGAAATACTTTTTGACCTCTTCAGGAGCACCACCATAGACCCGGCGCAAAACGCCGACAAGAGGCGTCACAAGCTGCTCGAGTTCGTTGTCGGGGTAAGTCTTCAGCGCCGGGTCCAATATCTCAATCAACCGCTCCGCCAACATGTTGGGTTCGGCCTTGGGGTAGATAAATGCTTGGATGTCCTTGTCCTCCAACTTCAAGTCGAGCAGCGCGTTGACGAGGGCATTGAAAGGTGGGTTGAGGGGTTTGTCGGAAGGAATGTCGTGCTTCCAGAGCAAGGCAATGATGTGTGGTGTGCAGCCCGTGAAAGCATCCACCTCAGAGGGACAGTAATGAGATACGTTGAAAAGCAGCTTCAAAGTCTCATTCAGCGCCATGTCCTCCATAGGGTCAATAGGCGCCTTTGGTTCGCGGTTTGTCAGAAGCTTGGCATGCTTGGATAAGTTTCCAATAATGATCTCTGCCAGCCGGTGTTTCTGGATCAGTGCCAGCAAGTCAATATTGGTGCCGTACGTTGTGAGGAAGATAACTCTCGAGACAAGAAACTCATCATCGAAGCTGTCGTTTCTCAACCTCTTACAGGCCAGGTCTTCATAGCCGAGACCGACAAATGTTTGCCGGGCCGTGGGGTTCAGCAGCATGGAATTGGCCAGAACTCTGAGAGCGGCTCTGGCTGTCGAGTTTGAAGGGCTGGTGAACGCGTGTTTTGCGAGGATTTCGATGCCCTATTAGTTGTAAGTACCGAAAGACCTGGGAAAAAGCGGAGAAACTGACCTCTGGAGTGAAAATCGGATCAGCATTGGTGGGATCCCGTCCGTATACCTTGAGTTCTTCGAGTGCAGCATCGCGTTCTGCAACAATCAGCTATAAGCTCTCGTGAATGCATATGAGCCAGGTGAGCTTTACGTTGAGGGAGCAACACAGGCTCCTTCAAGTCTTCACCCAATTTGTCCATTAAACTTTTGACCGCCTCTAGTTTCGCTAACGGGATCGTCAGCTGAAGAGTTACGAAGCCGCACGGAACGATGAGGACCTACCAGGGCCAGTGAGGTTGGCCTGCATAGCGGGGGGCTGCGACATGATTTTTGAGTGCCGGACCAGGCTTGGAATCGAGACTGGGAGCCTGAAGGAGTCTCGGTAAACTTGGCGAAGACAGTCGTCGGTTGACTCTGCGGTCCTTGGCGCTTAGCATTCGTTTCAACTTGGATGCCATGCTGAGTAGAGTGCTTGCGTGAAGATGGGTTGCAAGTAAACTGTAGTACCTACATGTTGAAATGTAGTAGGATTATCGCTTGCCTGCAGTGTTTGAGAAAGCTTGTACGATTCAATGAGCGTGCTTTGTGACACTCGAGGTCGATTTCAAGTGGTGGCTTGATATTTGACCATGATAATCCGCTAGGTTCACAGGTTCATCAATCACAAGCTAGAGGACCCTCGATGAGATACCCAAGACAAACAATGATAGCAGGATTCGAATCTTTGAAATGTGGGCAAATAGCGTTGTTTGAACGTTCACAGATGGGGGATGTCGGTGTTCAGGTGAGGTTGAAGCCGATATGGAGAAGAGAAACGAATAAGCACATTGGCCACGACGTTGCCGAGCCCATCGATCGGTCGTCGCACAATCAAGAGGGGCGCCGCAGTGGCTGTCAATGATTAAGCTCAGGGGTCCGAAGCCACAGACGAGCCAGGCGAGGGTCCTGCTTACCTAAGACACATGGTCATTCCATGTTGCTGTGTGACGGCCGTTTTTACGGATACAGGCACAGGCTATGCAAATTCCGAGATGGAAATTCCACTGCCCCACTCGGGGTTGCTCAGCGGCCCAACCCCCCGAGCAACCAGGCAACGAAACGACCGGGATACACGCCTGGCACGGGCCACCACTTTAAGTGGTTTCGCGCGCTCACCTCGCGTTTTTACGTGCATCGTCGACGTGTTTAACCAAAAGTCGTCAAGCGCTAGCCAATTAACCAGCTCCGCTACACCCTAACTTTGACAAGGAGTACTCGCGAGCCACGACTCCGGCCCCCCAACCCCATCCTCATATCCGTACGGATATCTGTGCATGGCTTCGCTCTTTCTTTCTGTCTCCATACGGAATCTCTTACTCTCGTTAACGCTGGAAAGAACCCCCTTTCTACCACAGCCCTTCCTTTTTGCATAGCTATAGTAGGAAGATTGTACATTACCCTTGGTTCCACGCATCGCCATTCCCTCCGCCTCTGCTGGTAGGAGTCCAACGCACGCATGCGCCAGTCTAGATAAGAGCAGAGCTAGCTGGTCTTCGGCGTCCCCTCCCCACACCTGACGGGAAGCCTCCTCGCAGCCATGGGATCTGTTGAAGTTGTGTCGAGCCGACTAGAGTCGTTACCTCCTCGTCCGCCGACACCACCCCGCGAGACCAGCCAAGCTGCTGATGCCACCCTCGCACCGAAGCGTCTTATCGTCCTTCCTCCCTCCTCCGACCCTCGTTCGAGTCTCCACACACCGCCGAGTGGCTGTTCACCACTCTCCGGAACCGATTCTACGAACCCGAGTGTACGAAGAGCAAGGAAACGGGTGGGCTTCTCTGCAAAAGCCCAATACAACGAGGCGCCCCATTACCAAGGCGTCAACGTCTCTGGCAAGCGATCGCCCCTCTCGGTGCCGTCGTCGACCCAACCCAAACCCGTCAAAGGCATTCTCAAACAGACATCTTCGCCGAGCCCCCTCAGCACCAGTACCAAGGCAGATGGTTTGACGACCTCGGTCAATATCTCCGACATGTTGGAATCAACCGTGAAGCAGCTCGCCGGAGCTGACAGAGACTCCAAGCGGGATGCCTATTCAACTTTGGTCAATACCCTGAAGACGTCCAACAATCTCCCCGACCGGATTGCCCTTCAAGCCAAGATGGGGCTGTTTGTCCAGTTCATTCAGCGAGACATCACCGCCAAAAACCCTGCCTTGAGCGGACCGGACGCACCTCTCGTCAACGACGCCCTCCGCCTCCTCGCCACCTTTCTGCACTTCCCTGCCATCGCCTCAACTATACCCAGCGATTTCGGTGTTTTCTTCATCGACCACTGCATCCGATCCTTCGAGAACCCGAGCACACCGAAAGACATTGCTCGACACCTGATGCACGCTGTCGCTACCCAGGACTTCTCCCCCAAAGTCATGACCTCTGATCGTGTCAGGCGTCTAGTCGCCGCTCTGCGCAGCATTGAAGACATTCTCAAGGGAAAGAGCATAGTAATGTCTCGGATCTTGATCTATAAGCGCCTGGTTCAGCAGTCGAAGCAGCTGATGGTCCTCCACTCGGACTGGCTGAACGACCTTCTCACGGATATGCTGAGCAGAGTTAAAGAGCTGCGATCGGCTGCGATATCCCTCGGTTTCGAAGCTGTCTACACCTTTGGAAAGGAGAAATCGCTTTCGCGGAAGGTGATGGAACTATTCGATACATCCATTGAAGAGATGAAGTTCGCAGAGTACTACCACCAGCAACTTCGTTCCATGGCCAAGGACAAAGACGACAGGCAATTGACCGCTGCTGTTCCCAAAATCTGGAGCGTCATCATCCTCTTCTTGCGCTGTCCGCTCGACCGGTGGCAGTTCTTCAACCAGTGGTTGCAGATAATTCAGATGGGCTTCAACAACAACGACCATCCCCAGACTAAGCAAGAGGCAAATTTTGCCTGGAACCGTTTCGTCTGGTCTATACACACCGAAGGGCAGTCGTTCGCCAAACTGCTACCTACACTGTACCAACCTCTAGGCAGCCAGCTCAAATCGAAATATAGTAGCAAGCACATCCGAGAGGTCGTTTTCGGAAGCGTTTGCAACCTCCTTTACTACACCTTCAAGCCTGGCACGAGTACAACCCTTCTAGAAAACCACTGGGATGCTTGTGTCAAGCCCATCACAGAAGCCCCCAAGGCACATGCAAGGAATCCTGATGCCGTTGACGAGCACATGCGGCAGGCAACCTTGATTCTCACCGGCCTCTTTGACTCAACCACACCGCGGTTATGGAAGGAAGATCGCATTAGAGAAACGCCTCTCGCCCGACCACATGAGTTGCCGGCTATTGAACCCAAGTGGCTTCGGCGTAACTCCTCCCGCGTTTTTCAGGTCATTGAGCCCATCATGGAGAAACACTTCCTGGAGCTTTCGGACAAAAACAGCCCTGTTCATCGCCTGTGGAGGACCTTGGTCGGGGCGATGGTTTCTGCAGCATCCAAGGAAATCAAGGTCTCCGTCGATACTACCGCCTTCATCTCGCAGATGTGCGGACTTTTGCTCAAGCGTTGGGAGGCTGGCCTGGCTGAGATTGAATACTTGCGCCCCGAGACAGCAACACGGTTTTTGGCCAGTGCTGGCGAGCTTGTTACGGTTACTGTGGAAGCCCTCGGCCTTCTGCCTTTCACCGAGAAGATGATATCTCTTGGACGGCTTCAAAACTTCACTCCTGTCTCGACCCCTTCTCATAAGCCCGCAAAAAATGCAGGCGATGCTCGGACACCACTTCAGCATCTCGCCGGATTGATGTCGAGGCTGCCTCCGGGTATCGCCGACAACGAGGAATTCGTCGATTTTTACCGGACCGTTTTTAACCCATTCTTTGCGCCAAGGTCAGCGAAGTCTCGGTTCGACCTGGCACAAGAGATGTTGTCCGCCACCCCCATTTGGTCCCCTCCAGTTGCCCATTCTCCTTACGCATCATGGGTCATCGCAGCAGAGTGTTTGGCTTCTACATTTGGTTCGTCCCAAAACAGTGTGCAGACCACAAGCTCTACTGGCGAGCCCGCCCTTGGCCACGAGTACCGCACAGTTGTGCGCCTTTTGGAGCGAGGGTGGAAGGAGGTGCCTGATCTACCCTGGAAACACTGGCGTTTCCTTCTCACGGCCTTGTCCAACCGTGTCAGCGAAGAGACTGGCGAAGCTGGACGAGCCTTGGGAGTGATTGAACCGCTCGCGAAGGTTATTCACGAATCCATCCATACCGATAGTACCTCCATGGTATCTGCGAAGACTGTTACAGCTGCAGCAGAATTGCTCTCCATTGCCAAGCACCCACTTGATAGGCAGGCTGTAGAAGCAGCTCGGCGCCGGCTTTGGGGCACTGCCGCTACGGGGCCCAAATCGTCCTCTTTCGATCCATTCAATAACCTGTACAAACTGACCAACGAGCTGCTGGAACGACTATACGAGGCCAATGACCATGACAACATCGATGACTCGGCCACTCTACTCAAGGAATGTGGCGGATTTTTGTCCCGCTGTAACCTTGAGCTCGCTCCGAGAACGGTGTCAAACTTGGAGAGTGGCCTCGTCATGTGGATTCGGGACTCGCAGGGTATTATCAAAGCTCGCCAGAGCCCTGCTGCCTCTGAAGCTGTAAGTTTCTCGGTCAATTGCAAAGTTCATCTTGCTAACCATGGACAGGCCAAGGCCCTTTGGGATACCGTGAGGGGTATCATCCTGCCTGACGCTACACCAGCAGAAATCCAACTTGAGGCGTTTGAGGAGCTTTTCTGTGCCGCCTTCGAAAGCAAGCACCGGCACATTGTCAACTCGATTGCTCAGGCATGGAACCGTATCTACGAGAATGCGGAGAGCGTTCAGTATCCTGAACATCTCAAGACCGTTTTGCTTACCGTCCAGCCGGCTGTAGACATTGTTCTTCCGGGCCTGGAGTCGACTCGCGAGGCATCCACAGATCAGAACCGTATTTTCGTTGAGTCCCAGGACGATATTGAGATGCTCACCATATCTTCAACGCGATCTTCTCGAAATAGGCCAATCAACTTTTCATCCCCTCTCAGCTCGACCAAGGCATCATTGTCCGCGAGGAAGAAGCTGGCTAGCACCCCCAGGAGAACTCGCAGCGGGGGCCGACGTAGTGCTGCTACTGCTCGTCTGAGACACGACGACTCACAGATTCAGTTTGCCCCTATCGAGAATTCGCCATTGAACCCGGCAGTCAACCCCGAGTCTCAGGTGCTCACCGAACGGCAAAAGGAAATCAGAGAAAGGCAGAAAGACACTGCAGCATTGTTTCCGGCTATGCGCTCTAGCCCTCAGGCGCAGAC